GGAGGCTGATTACTTTCAGTGGAAAAATGGTTTCACAGTGGAATAGGTTCTATACAATAACCAAACAAGCCTCACTTGATCATGCATATTCTTCCCCTTCAACTTTCATTGGGCTTCCTAGCAGAGGGTTAATTACACCTGCTGAACTGCTGGCATAGTTGAGGGCATACTATGAGGAGAGAGTTGTTCAGGGTCCCATACATTCTTGGTTATCTTCAGTAGTCATCTGGAAACTCTCCATCCCCCCCCCCTCACTGCTGGTGGGATACTTTGAGTGGAACATTTGCGCTTGGTTGGCTTTTTGCTTGTATACTCAGAGATCTCTTGACAGATCAGATTAGTGCTTATGCTGAATCATATGGCTTCTCAGCCAGTTTTTGGCTGGTTTTCAGTTGCATCCTTGATTGCTTTATAATATATGAAATTGCCCTAAGACACAGATCAAAGGCAGCAGATAAAATTTGCTGAATTTGTACCTATTCGATGTCATTCAGAATGAAAGGTTACCGATAGGTGAGCCTACATTCCCATGACTTTTGTAATCATGCTGATAGCTATCAGTTCTCTTCAGATTTATATGAGTTTTAAAGCTGCCTTACTTTTCACTTCTTTCATTCCTTTGTGTGTTCTTTGTTTTGAAAATGTTGAGACTCTTTATAGTATAATTAGAAATGTGGTTTTGTCTTTGAAACATATATGATAATCTACAAGGAGAGAGAATTATTATTGAGTAACCATCCACCAAAGTCTGTGTTTAATTATTCTACTGGAAAATAGGTTTCAGGAAGTTGTATTTATTTATTTCTTGCTTGATTTTTATCCTGCTTTTCTGCTCTGATAGAAAGTGTTGGTTTAGGCGCATTACCAAGATCAGTTCTGTTTTTAAAATGGGAAGGATCTAAATGAGCTGAGTACCCACCTTGAAACAAACATGCATGCTATTTTGGAAGTCAGTTACCTGTATGTCATTTGTTCATAACATGCAGGTAGATAAGGGCATAGATGGTGTTTGCCTGCTATGGCCACACATTTTTGCTTGCTGGAAGGCTGTTGCAGTGCTAGTTACTGGAAGACATATACATGCTGAAAAATTCGTGTCTGCCAGCTGTCGCAGCAAAGAGCCTGATGATGCAATTTGAGTGATCTGTTGCAAGTCCTGAAGAGATTGGAGGTGTTTGCAGAGGAATATGTAAGCTTAGTTCCAGAGTCTGGAAAAATGAATACTGTCTGTTCTGACTGCAGAGAGCTAGAGGGAGATGTCCTCCGATTTAGAATATAACAATAGCATCTATTGTATGGTATGTTTGAACATTTTGTACAGGAGCTGCAGGAAAGGAATTGAGAGAGGAATGTCAAATATATGTTCGTGTCACGTTTCTGGGAAATGAGCATGCAAGTCCATTTAGGCAAACAACACATTGGAGAGAGATCTTCCTTCTGTTGACATACATGCTTTAACAAACATTTTGAGAACTTGTACGTTTCAAGTGATGTATAAGTTCTGTTGAGCCTTCATGCCTGAAATTATTCACAGGGCTACAAGGATGGTAAGCACATGGATGCATGCAAAGGTCCCTTCTGCATCACTCATTTGATATTCCTAACACATGTGCACAGTAAGCATGTTCAGCCAAGCACACTTACAGGGTGCATTTCAGACCTTAGCATTCCATAGGCAAGGGTCTCCTTGAATTGCTAAAGGATGCAGGGGCAGAGTTTATGTGCACTCTTCCCCATCATCCTTTTAGCCCTGTAAAACAGTGGTCCCCAACCCTGGACCTCCAGCTGTTCTTAGACTACAGCTCCAAGAAGTCTTCATCACCACCTCTACTGACCAGGATTTCTGGGAGATGAAGTCCAAGAACATCTGGAGGCCCAAGGTTGGGGACCACTGCTGTAAAGAATTTCAGTTGTAACACCTGAGCAGGGTTACCAAAAATAAAAGAGAAGCATCAATTGCTCTGAAGAAGGCAATGGTAAACCACTTCTGAGTGTTCTCTGCTTGGAAAACTCTGAAAAGGTTTCAGGGCAAGCCCAGTAAAATCTCTGGAAATAAGAGGGGGAGGAGAAGCCATGGGTCTTGTGGGGGATGAGTTGGGCTTGTCAAAATAGATTGAGCTTTCAGTGATTGCCATGGAAGCTTGTGAAGTAGCCAAGAGGATATACTGGTATATTTTAAACTTCAACTAATGGGCAGGCAGAATCTGGGGGGGGACCACAGCCCCCACCCCCAAAACCTAATATCTGATTATAAATATGGAAATAACTTAACATTAAATGAGCAGCATTTCAGAGGAGCCAGTTTCTCAAATGCTCAGGATTTTCCCTACACACATTCTTCCTTTTTTACAGTTGAGAATGTGAGAAGCTGACTAAGGAACCACCAGTAAGCTTTCTTTTTTCATTTTTTAAACAAAATGAACAAAACTTTACAACAAAAACATGAACTGAAATACAAACATAACTCAAAATATGCAGTATTCCTCACTACTTTCAAGATTTTTTTTGCTTTGTTTTGTATTTTACCCTACTTGCTCCATCCCTCTCCAAAAATGATTCTTGTGTTGGGGTATAACCTTTTTTTAAATAAACAACAACAACAAATACATGTATTAAAAAGCATTCCATATCTCCCTAAAACAAATTGTTTTCAATATTCCCTTTCTAACTTTCAATTCACTAGTTGATTTATCATTACTAGCAATATTCCACATTTCTTTGTACCAATACTCAATATTAATCAAATTGTTGCTTTTCCAGTTCTTTGCAAATATCAGTCTTGCTGCTGTTAATATAATAATTACCGTAATAATCGCCCCATTCTAATCCAGCCATATTTAACAGAGGTATTGTTGGACATCTTTGTAGTTCAAAACCCATAATTTCCTTTATGTCTTTTAATATCATCGTCCATTTCTTCTGACTCATTTCATATGTCCACCATATATGTAAATACAGTATGTACCCTTCTGTTTCTTACATCTCCAACATGAGAATGATATTTTGTTCATTATATTCATTTTCATTGGAGTTAAATATCTCCATATTACTTTGTAACAATTTTCCTTAACCCTTACAGACATATTCTTCATTATTCTTTTATTCCACATTTTCTTCCATTCATTGCCACTAATTTCTTTATATTTCCACACTATGCCTCTTTAAGAGCTGTTATTTTATATTCATCCTCTATTAACATCTTGTAAATTACACTTATTATCCCTTTTCTATTTTTATTACCTTTCATCATCTTCTTTTCTTCAATAATTTCTTCAGATTCTCCAAACATTGCAACATATTGCTTAAAAAGGGGATTTCTAGTTTTTTACAATTTTTTTTGTTTCCTTTTTTCAACCTTAGTGGAAAGACTGCATTTTAAAAACAGAGTATTGATCTTGTGTCCAAGCTTAGAAGAAACTCCCCAACTTACCTACTCTAACTAGATTAATAGCTGAAATTTGTCCTTGATAAAGAAAATATCTTTCCTGAGAACTGCAACTGAAAGTATAACTCTTCCTTTCCCATTATTGCTGTTTGATATCTGTACTTAAAGAAACAGAAGGGAAACGATGCACCAACATAATTTAAATTCTTTATCAAGCACAGTTGAGTTATTAATAACATTCAGTCATATGGCTTTATTTAGCATCTTTCTGGTAGGGCAATAGGGACTGGGGGATACTCCTAGATATTCCTGCCTCCTCCTCCTCCTCCTCTTCTTTCCAGGGCTTTAGAGATTTTGCTGGATATGCCGTGACATTTACGTTGGCAGGCCATCATAGAAATTTTGGATCATCTTAGTAATCTTGATAATAACTATTTCTTCAAATGAAACCCAAGCTTCTCAAGATTCTGAATTATGCATTGAAAACATAATGTTAAAATGATGGATGGTGCCATCTGATTGCCTTTAAATGTATTTGATAGATACATGCCCACTTATGTTTCATACAAAATCTTCTGCCAAAGGCTACAGGTTCCTGTGCTTGGTTTAGGACCCTGTTTTTAAGTTGTTGAGGCTCATGTCTTTGACCCTTACCAGGCTTATGTACTTGAAGATAAGGAGCACAATTCTTTGTAAAGAGTTAGGTGTGCTGCGTTTTGGGCTAACAGTCCTTCTCAGACGTTTTCCTCCCAATCAGTAGGTTGATTTAAGGTAATCTGCTTTATGACTATCATTGCAGGAATGGTAGGGCTTTGAATCCAGCAGATCCAAGACTTCTCCCAGTCTGCCTTTTCCTTCCTGTAATGCCTCTGAAGCACCAATAGGCAGGGAGGTATGACCGTGGAAATGTCTGCTATGGGTAGCACCTCTTCTCTAGCCATGGCTGTTTTTCTGTGACCAAAGAGAAGATGGCTTGCACTAATATAGCTTGAAAGGGGGTGTTGTTGTTTTTTGGACACGTAATCCAAAAATGTAAAATGTGCATTATCCTGAAGCTGCTAGAACCACCCTTCCCAGGGACCTTAGGTTTTTGGTTTTATATTTTGTTTAAAAAATATCGAAAGTTTATTTCCATCCTGCTGAACAGTGCAGGTTGAATGATGTGGCGCCACTTCTGTTAACAGGCAGAACTAAAGGTTTTAGGGAGATTGCCTGTTATGTGGGAAGGACACACTTGAGACATTGAAGTTTTAAACAGCCTTTAAAAACCCTTTGAATTCTTCTACCTTCTTATTTGAGATTGCACTCCACTGATGTGGATTAAGTCCGAAGTGTCATCAAGAAATGGTGCCTCTTTTGGTGCCTCAGTCTTCCTTTATTGGGGATTCCCACTGTTTTGAATTGGGAAGTTTCAGTTGTCTGCCTGCGTAAATGAATAGTGACCTGCACAGCAAAATAACTACATGCGAATAAAAATATTTCTCTTTCTGCTTGAACCTTCAGCTATAAGAGTCGCATAAAGACTGATAATCGGGATGCCTTTTCTTTTCCAGGGAAGAAGATGGCTTGCAAAAGTTTTCTTGGGTTTGGACAACAGTTGTTTCGGAGGAAAGTGGTGGACTGCGCAACAGAAAACAGCCGGCTTTCACGGTGCCTCAACACATTTGACTTGGTTGCTCTTGGTGTAGGCAGCACCCTCGGGGCAGGAGTTTATGTCCTGGCTGGGGCAGTGGCTCGAGAGAACTCAGGACCTGCCATCGTGATCTCCTTTTTGATTGCAGCTCTTGCTTCTGTGCTGGCTGGACTTTGCTATGGGGAATTTGGTGCTAGAGTTCCAAAGACTGGATCAGCTTATCTCTATAGTTATGTAACTGTTGGTGAGCTATGGGCGTTCATCACTGGTTGGAATCTAATTCTTTCCTACGTCATTGGTGAGTTCTTCTTTTTTTGTGCTGTTGAGTGATTTTTAATTATGGATCCATGTATGTAGTATGTAAATACGAATTAGGATATAATATGCATCTCAGATCCCATAAGGTATCTTCAACCCTAGTGTTTCTCATGGGCCTAAATTATTATTTGTGTTGCAGCATTGTATGTCTTCAGTTTTTCATAAGTGTTGCTTCACTCACTGTCCAAACTTATAAAAAGAGAATACAGTATATGGCTATATAGGCACAGAATGTCGACCAGCCTTCCCCAGCTTGACACTATGAGTAGAATTCTTTTTCTACCAGTCAAATAACAGTGCACAGCGTTAGCAGTTGGGCCTTTCAGGACCTTTCACAAGGGAGCACTCACTGCCCACTAGATTGAACAGCATCCCATTTACTTTAGATGGGGTGATCCATGCTCATGCTTTGGCAAGCTGGAGAGAGCATGGGCTGTCTGCAGGTGGAGTGCTCCAACCATTTCCAAGATGATGCTGGCTCTTGTGTTTTCAACCTCAGATCTGGAGGGCAGCAGGTTGAGGAAGACTTGTGCAGTTTCATTCAGATGATTATATCCCATCTTGCTAAACCGAGAGATGCATAGGCTTTTTTTTCATGTGTGCAGCCTGTTTGCTTCCATCTTTGCTGTAAGCTACAGTTAAAGCAGGAAGCTTTTAATTAAACGTACATGAAAAAAGAGACAGGTGGTTGTTCATGAAGGCTCAAAATTCCTGAAACTTAGGGCAAAATCTTTGTTTGACCAACCAGAATGCTACAGAGGTAAGTAAAATGTTGTGTTCTGGCAAATTCTTCGTTGGGCTACATGGGACTGGGAGAAGAAACAAAGAAGACTCCAAAGTAAGATAAGGCTTATAGCTCTCTGTTCTGCAGGTAAGCTTAGTTGCAGGATGGTGATTGTGGATTAAATGAAGCACTGGTAACTGGGCAGATGTCAGATTTCTCCAGGCAGTGCATACTGAAAAACTGCAGTTCTTGACTTCTTGCAACTTGGGAAGCTGTGGTTAATAATGGTTGGGATAAACCAGGACATTAAGCCACAGTTTGAAGTTTGTTTAAGGTGTTGGCTGCTGGTAAGCAGATGAAGCAGTAGACAGTGGTGAACAGAGGCTTTCCGGTTTCTGAGAAGGGGTTCTGTGCATAAGCAGAAAGAAATTGAGGAATTATTTTCATGTTCAGAAAGCTCATGCTTATCCTAGGTAATGCAGTGAGATTTGATTGAGTGAACCTGCTCAGAGTGTAGTCGTAATATTAGGAGGTTGAAGACATAATTTTGTAGAAGTTGATTCTCATATGTACTAAGAGTTACTATGACAAAAATGTATTCAAACATATGTCCCAATTAATTTCTGTTAAACTTATGAAATAATTATAAGGTTAATTGAAATTAATTGGGACATTATATACTTGAATGCATTTCCATGTATTTCCTGTATGTGGCAAACTTGTGGTTCAGAAGAGAGCTGTGTTGGGTCCATTTATGTTGACATACTGGAAGTATTTTGTATGTTTGTAAAGGAGGGGACATTTAAAACTTGAAGCATACCTTCTGAAATGGCATAGTACCAACAAGGCATTAGGATTTAATTATTCTAAATAATTAAATCCTGTTGTTTAGTGCAATAAGTCGCACTAGAGCAACACCCATTTGAATCATTGGAAATTTAGTGAGTTAGCTTCTCCGTAAGTTCCATTGATTCAAATAAGCCTACTCCAATTGCATCTTACTTAACATAATAGGTTAAGCAAGATGCAGTTGGAGTATTTGAATCCATGGAACTTATGGAGGAGTTGACTTGCCAAATCCCCATTGATTCAGTGGGCCTAATCTAGTGTGATTTACTATCCTAAGCAATAGGATTTTGACGAATATGTAGATTGTTCCTAATACGTCAGTGAAACTGACTTTTATTAGATCAAATATTTGTTCTGTTTGTACAGTTTACTATATTTATTTTGTTCATTGTTGAGGAATTGGCTCTGCATGTAGTAAATTAAGAACCCTCTAGGGAAGTGTGTTTATTAGCTGTTTAATTTAAAGCCTTTCTTTTAATGCCCAGACAGGAAGTCTAATTGAATATGTTGACATTGCATCATTACACAGGAAGACCTTTAGGGAAATTGTACATCATTATAACAAATACGGTTTAAAATCTGCCTAAAGCAGGTTTTTCTTTGGCAGCTACTGGAATGAAACAATATTAGTCTGTGATTATATCTGAATTAAATAAGAGAGTGAGCAGGGCTTGTAGGAAGGAGTTGGCATTTAGCTTGTTTAAATTCAGATCTAAAAGTATTGTGATTTAAAAAAATTTAAAGTATGGGCTGAGACATAGACGTTAATGTTTTGAAGGTTTTTTTTGTTTTAAACTTAGTAAAGCACAGCATGAATTTGTTTTAAGCAAATAATTTTCTCACAAGAAATAGGAGTGGTGATATAGGAAGGGTGTGGAGGGAATCTTAAGTAGAACTTCAAAAGCTTCCTATTTATTTACATATCCTTGCTGTTCATGCACATCATTTTTAGGAATTTCCTTGCTTTGTAGGCATTTATAGATGCTGGGAAAACAAAACTTTTATTGATCATAGGATGGACCCCTGCAATTCTCTTTAGAGTGCTTTCCTACAGAGTTTGCTTTCTATTAGGCCAGTTCTACAAAGTCTAAGATTAAAAATGAAACATTTTACAAGTAATGAGAGTCTGCTCCATGTGCCCAAGGGTGCAGCATGTTAATTTATGCTATGATATCAGGTATGTTATGTTAGTCTTGCTATGTCATATCCATCTACCTATGATGAATTTTACATTTAACCACTTAAATCTAGAGATCAATGACGCCTCCTACCCCATCCCATAATTTATTTATAAGCTTCGTCAGACTAAGCTTCATGAGGAAACAGCTTGCTTTGTCTGTATACTCAAAAGATGGGTCGAATTTTGAGTTGGATCAGAGCTCATCATGCTAATGCTGAGGGCAGACATTGTGGGTTGGCATCATTGAGCAGTTGCTGAGGCCCACATCTCTTTAGGGTGACAATATCACCCTCCTGGTTTTGGAATCCATTTCTCCTTGTGTTTGCTACCTGTTTGCAAAACACCTGCTGTGTTCTCCCTCTGGAATGGTGTGCAAAGGGGTTTTTGGAAATGCCATCACTTTCCAGGTCTACGCTTGAGTTCTCCTTGGTTGTCATTAAGACAAGCAGCGAAGTAAGTGAATGAATGGGAGAGTCTTATGTCTCTCCTGGATGTTCTGAATTTGATTAAAACTTAAACTTGAGAAAATTTTGGCACCATAGTGCCCCTCCAGTACTAAAAAAAGTTGTACGGACTTCTGCAGCACCTTAATACAGATTTCTAGTGGCAACATTGACATCTTGCAGAATCCCAGGCTAACAACTCTAGCATGATCCTGGAACACAGAAGGTGCCTATGGCTGAGTCACTTCCATCTCTTTACCACAGTCTTGTGAATTTATGGACGTTACTACTGCTCACCGGATTGCAACAGTGACCTGAAGCCAGTAACAAGGGCAAGCATAAGGATTGGATAATATAACTATGAGAAGAGGAAGAAATGGTTGGTCTGGTCTAGAATTCTTGTCCAACGTGCTTTTCTTGCTTGTCCACTCTCCAGTGCTGAAATGGTTACTTCTTGATACCGAGAAGCTTTCTGTGGCACTAGCCTAAAGCTAATGCAAAACTATCCATGTATAGTTGTGCTGCATCAAACTTTGAAGCATAGTTCGTTCCTCTGTGGCTCACTTCAGTAACTTTTGGTCTTTTAACTTCTTCAGTGAGGAGAACACATTGAATAGATTAGTGTCACAGAATCTGCTCCATGGGAGGTTAGATACATACTATTTCGTGGCTATGATGTATGATGCCTGCCCCCTGCATCTCTTTTATCAGTCCAGAGTACTATAGCTGAGGAGGGTAATAATATTACACACAGATGTGAGGCATCGCACAGAGCTTAATCGAGTGATTAGTCCCAGCTATACTTGACCCACTGAATAAATTGAACTTGCATAACCGTTAAGTCCCATTTATTCAGTGAATCTACTCATGCTGGGAGTAATAACTGCATTTAGCTCACAGTATATTAAATAATGAAATGGCATAGTAAAATCAGCAGTGTCTACAAGCTATAGAATGGAATGCTGGCTATTTGCATGATTTCCAAGGTAACTGAAACACTTCAGTTGATAAGTAGGCAGATTTTCCTCTCAATGAAACAGGTCTGGTTCAGAGAGAGGAAGCCTATCTTCACAATGGGTGCTAGGGAAAGTGCTTAACTTCTGAACTGCCCACTGATTTGCTCAATTAAATAAGTATGCTATATATCGGAAGAACAAGATGCAAATTCCCCTTTCCTCTTTTTTATTGTGTTTTGCTTGATTTTTTTAAAAAATGTAGCACACTGAAATGAATTGATGAAAGACAGCATGTACATAAATGAAATTAACAGATATCTCCTGTTTTTAATTTTTTTTGACAGGAACATCGAGTGTTGCCAGAGCATGGAGTGCAACGTTTGATGAACTTATTGGCAGACACATTGAGAAATTTTTTCAAGAGTACATGTCTATGAATGCTCCTGGTATCTTGGCAAAATATCCAGATGTCTTTGCTGTTGTCATTATTTTGATCTTGACAGGTGAGAGACAGAGAAAAACAAATCTCAGACTGCTAAGGGAGTTTTTCCATGCCCACCCCCCAGAGTGATAATTCATTATAGTCTCATTATTGGCTTTTGCTGGAAAAACAAGCACCCTCATTTTCACCTTGCATTTAAAGCATTTTCTTTATTTGCCACCTGTTTGGAACTGCTTTTATAAAGATGTTTTTAGATGCTTCAGTGAAAATGGGCAGAGAGTTGCAGTAATGCTTTGTAACACAACATAGGTTTTTGAGTGAGATGGATTTTTAAGCTGGAAATCTTTGAATACCATTTTTTTGGGCGCGGTGTCTACCCAGAAATAGTATTCAAGCAGAAGAACTTGGATTTGTTAATCTAAGCTCTTGCCTGAACAATCTGCCAATTTATATCAGGCTCCAGCAAGAAAGAAGTAGGCAGGGGAAGGGTTGAACTACTATGATGCTGGTGGGTGGCTGTTTATTTTAGAAGAGTTCAAACATTAAAAAATACGTGGACTTAAAAGGATATAGAGCTGTTAAAGAAAAAAAAAGAAAACCCAGTGCTGGGTAAATGGTGGCTTTTTGGCTTTTTTAAATCTTTAAACTGATCTTGTGAATGTTTCCACCAATACAGTGATGCCTCGCATTACGACATTAATTCGTTCCAACGAAATCGCTGTAGAACAAAAACGTCATAATGCGAAAATAAAAAGCCAATTGAAACGCATTCAGAACCCTTTCAATGTGTTCCAATGGGCTGGAAACTCACCGTCCAGCGAAGATCCTCCATAGGGCGGCCATTTTCGGTGCCTGTGCAATGAGGAATCCATCCCAGAAAACAGCGGGGAGCCATTTTATTTACCCTGCGGCCATTTTGAAACCGCTGATCAGCTGTCCGAAAATCGTCGTTTTGCGAAGAATCGGTTCCCGAAGCAGGAAACTGATCATCGCAAAATGAAAAACCCCTATTCAGACCATTATTTTGCATTCGCAATTGCGATCGCATAAAGATCATTGTAATGCGGTTTCATCGTAATTCGGGGCAATCGTAAAGCGAGGCACGACTGTACCTGCCAAAATCATACCTCTGCTGCATCAACATTTCCCCAGGATATGAGCCACAATTGGAGAGCTGCTTTGGAATAGGCCATGGAGATTTTCTTTATTGCTGTATCTTTGAACACAGATTCTCTTCTTTCTTTGGAAATCAGTTTAAAAATGCCCCCAATTTCAGAAGTGGCCCGTTGAGCTGTCCGTCTGTCTGTAAGTGTGTGTATGCTGAGAGAAAAGAAATAACTCTGAAATCTTACTACCAATGTGGAGCTTTTTATGTGGTCTTCTAGTTCATGGCTATAGAGCATGGGTGGGCACTCCTCTGATGATGGAAGATGAATTGGACCCCAAGCCAGATGTGCTTTGCTGCTACCCATCCAGGCACCATGGTCAGCAGTGGTTAAAAAAGCACCACTTTTTGCATCAGAATTGCTGCCACAGTGCTATTAGCTTTTAATGCCACTTTCCAAAAAAGATCAATGTATGCAGACTCAGTGTGTCTCCATTTTACGACAAAGACAACTGCGAGCTGCAGGTTGCATGTTGTCCACCTCTGCCATAGAGAGTTATGATGTTGCCTTACAAGAATGAGGAGACATTCTAGTTGTTTCTCATTCAAAGTAGTGGCCCCAAGAGTTGGCCCTAAAAGCAAAATATATCTATGCCTTTGTAAAATGTCTTGCTTCTCTGCTTCCAAGCATTTCCATAACCTCGTTTTCTCACTCAAAACACCTCTCAGGAGATCACAGTAAAAAAGATATCTGGAGCCTTCAATGAAAACATAGGTTGTTCCCTGGGAGCATATCCTCTGTCTTTACATTTACACGGGTCTTGGAAGCAGATGAAGAAGGCTATCCAGTCTTAATTCTGCAGTTACTATCTCCATCTAAATTAGGGGTTTTATGCAGTCATTTACTCTGATTATTTGATGCATTTCTTGGTCAATTGGGTTAAGAGTACCTGAGAAGAGCTTCTTTTCTTTAGTGGAATCATAAAAAAATGTCATTCACAAGTTCCTGAAGAACACAGTGCAACTTGGAAAATTTACTTCTTGGGGGTTGTAACATTTAGAATCCCACAGCCAGTGAGAGTGTCCCCAAAAATATTACCAATAGTCATGTTGCTGTAGAAATCTCCTTAAAAGCACGACACAGACCAGGAATCTGGCTCATGATTCTTGGCAAGGGTTTATGTGCATTTAAAGGACTGGTCTTTCAGACAGTGTGTAGAAACACTGCCATTTCCTCGCCATGGCTGAATTTCTCCACAAGGATACATTGGCCAGGTTCAGATGACCCTATCAAATCATGATTTTGCTGCCATAGATGTATGCAAAATACATCTTCTTGTATGCATTTTGACATACAAGAAGATGTATTTTGGAAGAAAAAGGAGAAGGCTTCTTTCTTCTGTAAGGTCTGAATGGAGCAAATTGGTTATTGAAGATCAGAAGGATGGAAGAACTGGAGGATATTGGGAGTCAGGCATTGTCAGCCCAAAACCTATGTTTGTTATGGCTTGAGTAACTAGTTATGCAGATAACTCTGGAACTAGGTCAAATAACATGAGCAGCATGGCACCTTACACCATGAAAATGTGGTGATAATAGGTTTTGGATTAAAATATCTTTCTGCTTTTTATTGTTGTAAATATTTAATTACACACTGTGCACTTTCTAGGACTTTTAACATTTGGCGTGAAAGAATCTGCATTGGTTAACAAAGTGTTCACTTGCATCAATGTTCTCGTCTTGCTCTTTGTGATGGTATCTGGTTTTGTGAAGGGATCCTTGAAAAACTGGCACATTCCGGGGAATATCTCACTTGTGAACAAGTAAGTGGCAGCTTTACCTTGCCTGAAATGATATAATGCATGTGCAGGTGTACAATATTTATATGTGATATGAAACAGATAGGCCGTAGTTATGGTATGAGATGCCTCTCCCCAAGGAGTTTCCAGATTGCTCATGGTTTCTGTGCATTAGTGCCTCCATTTGTTTGGAATATGTGCAGACCTCTCTTTTTCTGTGATGGTGGTTGTTACACTGCAATACTACTCTGTATAGACATGAATATGCCAGAGAAATATGAATAGATACATGTTGAGCAGGGACGGGCCCTGGGCAAAAAAATAGAATAGTACCCCCAGCTTCCTCCTCTCTCCTTCTCCCTTTCCTCCCACTTAAATCGTCATAGGACATAAACAATGTAAGTGAAAGGTGGGGGGAGAACAGCACCCGTAGTTCTGGCTCCAAGAATTAATCAATAGTGGCAGATGATTTAATGGATAAACTTGTTATATCATGCGAATGAGCAGTAAATACAGTACATAGACTTCATAGACTTGGTGTATTCTGCTAATGAGCAGTAAATGCATAAACTCTGTGTATCATGCTAACGAGCAGTAAATGCATATACCTTGTACATCAGTGGTCCCCAACCTTGGGCCCCCGGATGTTCTTGGACTTCAACTCCCAGAAATCCTGGCCAGCAGAGGTGGTGGAGAAGGCTTCTGGGAGTTGTAAGAACATCTGGAGGCCCAAGATTGGGGACCACTGTTGTACATCATATCAGTGCCCCCTGTGCCTCCAAACAGCTTGTATATGCCTTCTTAGCTCCCAAACACCATCTCTGTACCATTTTAGCCCCCTAACAGCCTCTCTCTGCCATCTTTGCCCCTAACACAGTCCCTCAGTGCTGTGCTTGCCGCTGTCAGCTCCGTCAGGCCAGGGTCCTCAATGACGCAGGCGGCAGGAGAAAAGGCTGTATGTGCTGCCAGTGCTCAAATAGTGCGAGGTCACGCATCATGATCCCGTCACATGACTTCAGTGCACATAAGACGTCAAAGGCCCAGCTAGCAGTGCAGGCTGCTCAGCACCATCATGGAGGGTATGATGATGATGATGATGATCATCATCATCATCATCATCATCATCATCATCATCCCCTCTTCATGCGGACCTCTACCGACAGAGGGCCCCTGGGCAAATGACCACTTTCCCCTCTGAATAAAGTAGCTTTGATGTTGAGGTGCCATTATAGGTGTGGTCTTTCATGTTTTTGGATTACAACCTCCCAGAATTCTCCTGGAATTCCCCAGGCAACATTTTTGGAACTACCATCACTGCCTTCTCTGGCCTCTTTCTACTTTCAAAAACAAAAGAACTGGAGTGGTGCTATCTGGGAATCATAAGTCTTCCTGGTAGGTTTTTAGGAGGCATTCCCTATAGGGCCTCATAGAGAGGCAGTGAGGTGAGGACTTCCAGCACACTTCATGTCCCCAAGGTTCTGCCCATGCTGGTCAGACCCCCCCCCCTCAACTGCTGTGGGGGCAGGCCCTCCTGGGTGCAGAGGATGCTAGGATTTGTACTGTCACTGCCCCCTCCCTTTTTTAACCTCAGCTGCTTTTTGTTAGTTGAAATACATAAGCACACATGTATATATTCCAGGTGACTGAAATTTGGGGATTTCCTTACAACGGTTTGTGTGACAGTCACATAATGCCTGCACTTTATGTCTCAATTTTTGAGTGTCTGTGACAAATTGTGAGCCTGGGAGGCTAAAATGTTCTGCTCCATCCTGATGCCTGTGGGTTAAAATGAAACAAGGTGCAGTGACTCTTTTGTAAGGCTGCACACTTAGACTGAATGTTGTGCAAAGCTTTCAGAGTCCATGAAAAATTAGATTTGGACATAGCTCATAACCTCATTCTGGGAAGTTGCTTTTTTTTAACTAAAAGAAACAAGAAATCTTTCAGAAATGCCATTGCTGAGTTTGCCCTAATATTTCCAGTAACAGATAGCTCCTCCCTTAAACCATCCCCAAAGCAACACTGTGAGGGTTCTTCCTAACCTGGCCAGGCCACACAGAGGGCCTTTTGTCCTTCTGACTGAATGACTGACCACTGGGACTGCTTTTCTGGGATCAACGCCTCTCTGACGTTTGCCTGCCAGGAGCAGGTCTTGATCTCAAGAGGTGAAATGGCTTGAAGTCCTTCCTTTCTTGTCTGCTGCTCCAATGAACTCCACTCTTCTTTAACAGTACAACGGTTGTACTGGGAATTTCCCCTCTTCATGAGCACAACTGGGAATCTTACTTTTTTTGGACTACAACTCCCAGAATTTTGCCACCTTGGTTCTGCTGGTCTTGCTGACTCATGGATTCTAGAGGCTGTAGTCCAAAAAAGTAACATGGTGCATCTTCTAAATTGCTTGACATAGGGGTAACTTTTTGCAATTGCCTCTTCTGAAGCATCTCACTGTATGTATTCCATGTTTTTTCCGGGCTGCTCTGCCAGTCCTGCATCTCTTAACAGTGTCGTGGCTAATGTTGCCTGATAGATTGCAGTGAGCTGCTTGCAAATGAATGGTTTTACCATTATGTGTCAAGAGTCTAAGACAGTGTATGTGAAGTTGTCAGACCAGCTGTAAGTTGCATAGGGGAGTAAATGTGGAAAATAAATGATCTCTGAAGTTTAAAGAGTATTGGGAGCTCAGAAAGCTTCTTGGTGAGAACATTGGTCCATTTATGGTCCGCACTGACTGGCAGGGATTGTCTAGGATTGCAAGCAGGAATCTTCATGACCTACCTGGAAAGATCAGGAGTTTGCATGCAGTTCAGATTCCCCATCCCCCCCAAGCTATTTCCAAATGCAATTCTGCTTGTTTCGGGAGAATGTTCATTCTGTAGTGTAGGTACTGAAGCTGTGGGTCTTATCATCTAAATCAGGGGTCTCTAAACTATGGCCGACGGGCAACATCCGACCCGCCTTGCCTTTTTATCTGGCCTGGTGAACGCCACAGGTTCAGGTCCATTCCCTTCAACCCATGCATGTGCACATGCATACACATGTGCATGTGTGCATTCATTCCTTCGACCCTCCAGAATGTGTAAAATATATGATGCGCTCCTCATGCTGAAAAGTTTGGAGACCCCTGATCTAAATCTTTTATGTCTGTTCTTTTTTTGTACTTCAGACTAATTTTTGTTTTGCTTCTGATCAGGTTTTGCACTTTCCCTTCTCTATATTGGAAAAAAGGATAGAGAATCCAAGAAATGTATCTCAGAGGCATAATCTTCTGCAGCAGAAAGTCTAGTCTTATGGCACTTTAAAATTATTTGTTAGTTTTTAAGGGGCCACAAGATTCTTAGTTTCTGCAGGATGTAATAATTCCACATGAACAGTCTGTTCCACACAGCATGGTGCTAAGGCACTGTACTATTGAATGCACATATTTCAAAAACCCTTCAGCCTATCTGGAAGAAAAATGCACTGACAACTTTATGTGATTACATTGGACTTGTTTGTGTAGATGTTGCCAGGCTGAAATTCTACGGACACTTTCGGTACGGAATAATGGTCCAAACTGACGCCTCCTGAAGGCAGCCTTTCGGTTTATTTTGTATGCTATGTGCACATTTCAACTTCAGTCGTCTAATTCTGCATCCTTTGGCTGATGCTTCTGGAGAATCGGGCAATGTTTAGAGGCTTAGAACTTTTTCTCTGGCTTCTACAATTGTGCTGCATTGAATGATGGAAGATTTCCTTTTTGAACAAACCTGACAGGCTTGTTTTGTAATGTAACAGCAGGTAACAATGAGGATAGAGAATTATATTAACCAATCCCTCCATTTGGAGGTCCTGCTTATTTCGCTGAAATTTCTTACTTGCGCTTAGAATAATATATCCTACGGGTTTAAAACACCTGTTGAAAAAGGCAGCACATTCCTTTTGAATAGACAGTTACATAGGTGCACTATCGGGCTTTAAAACAAACAAATCAATCACTAATGGGAATTCTGGGAAATGTAGTTCGGAGGAGGGACTAGGCATCCCAGTGTCTTCACTGAAATGTAGTTCTCATGGTGCTTTGAGGGTGCTGTGACAGGTGAGTTAGTGTCGCCCCTGCCACACACCATTTTTCTTTTTCATGAATCACTGTTCCAAGACATTCTATGATTGTGTTAGTCTTATTGAGCAGCCTAACTTCTGGTCTCCTGTTGTTGTTTTTAGTGTCACCCAGGAACAAATTGGTGTTGGTGGGTTTATGCCCTTTGGTTTCTCTGGCGTTCTCTCAGGAGCAGCAACATGCTTTTATGCATTTGTAGGATTTGACTGCATTGCCACTACAGGTAAGGTCACAAGGATTGAACACTCTTCTATCATTAAGAATTCTGTCTACATGTGGGTTGGTGCAAACAAGGAATCTTTTTCCTTAAATACGGTGATCTTCCTGATGTCCACTCTCATATTTCTAAAATTTGAATGTGGTTAATGGCTTATACGCTAGCTACTTTACTTACTGAGGGAACCTTTGTACATCCACATCTCTTGATATTAAAGCCAGTGTCTACATTCAGCAATGTTGCCCTGCAATTTACAGTACGTTTCAATACTAGCACATTAAACCAAAGGGGGGGGGGGAGAAAAATGTAAAGCAAAACAAAGCAAAAGAAAACATCTTCCTTGCATGTCGGGAAGAGTAGTGGACTAATAAGAAGGCTAGGCTGAACTTTTTCCATCCAACACGTTTGTTTTCACAAGGCGAGTGCCCATTACTGGTTGGCAAAGTTAACAACGCAACTTCACGGTTAAGAAGCCCAATATGTTTCATGCCAGGACTTACGTGGTATAGATAACCAGGAGCTGCCAAATTAAATAGGGTTGCTTAACCTGTGGCTGAACCTGTGGCAGCTGTATTTATAAGTCATTAACCTGTGATTTATAATTTACCATTAACAATTATTTTAACAGCAGTTGCATATGTTGGCAACCTTGTACCATTTTCCCAAAAATAAGACCTAACCTGACAATAAGCCCTAGTATGATTTTTCAGGATGCTCGTAATATAAGCCCTACCCCAAAAATAAGCCCCTGTGAAGTGAAACCCCGCCCTCAACCATTGTGCAGCCACCAGAAGAAGATGACAGGACTGTCTTTGCATGAATGTAGATTGTTGTACATGGAAAAAAAAACATCCCCTGAAAATAAGCCCTACTGCGTTTTTTTGAGCAAAAATTAATATAAGATGCTGTCTTATTTTTGGGGAAGCACGGTAGAAGGTATATATTTTCAAGCATGTTTTTTTCCTTTAAAATATAAGATTTTATGCAGAGCTCTGAAGGGAGACTTCTGTATGTTTCTACCTTTTCTGATTAGACTTTGAATAAATGGACTCTGCATTATTATGACATGCATACAACATGGGAGATCCAGCTTGTACAATATTTCACATTTTTAATCCTCACTTGATTACTCAATGAGTACAGCTGAGCACAGCAGTCTCCTGCATGTCTACCCATTGACTGTGATGGATCATACTCCTAGGTAGACATGTAATACTGTAGCTTTTGTTGCTCATGCTTGTTTAATCACTTGGCCCTTGTAGAGTAGAGCTCTCTTTTTTATGTCATAACTGATCTGCAAGTTATGAGTATATCTGAAATATTTTCTACAAAATGAATGAATCACTGAGGTGCTATTGTCTTCCATTTAAAACGCTAACGTTTACAGCCCTTGTGGCTGATAAGCCTGGAAACTAATAATAACAGCAACATAATATATAATAATTATAATTATTTGATTGTGTTTAATAGTTTCAAATATTTTTATTATAATAATAATATTTTGGGAATATGCAAACAAAACACCATTGTTATGCTGGTTTGCATCATTTTAAATAACATAATAAGGCTTTTAGTGCTGAGGCAATGTGCTCCTATTTTAAAACAAGTAGTTAATTCACAGCCCTCCAGATGCTGAACTGCAGTCCAAAAGGCCAAGAAACCCAGGAATGCCATAATTTTCCTGCCACTGATTAAAGTAGCTACTTCTACAATATTTAGATTAAATTGTATCATGGCATGTATCATAGCTATTAACATAAGTACTGTATATGCAATTACAGGCCATTAGTTATGAATATTAGTTGCACCCTATTAACTCCTTGTGTGAATATTAAAAACATTTAGAGAACCCTCTTCATTGAACTCATTCAGTCTTCTCCCAAAGCAGTGGAATTAAGGGAGTTTGTATTTACCAAGATTGTATGTATTTCAGAAGGATCCTGTTTCCAAAAATCAATTATGTAGGAAAGTACGTATTACGCTTTTTGTTTTTTGATTCAAGTAAAAGAAAATATCTACAGTAATAAGAATAAGAAATGGTAGGAGGAAGTGTTTTTCCATAAGAACCCAAATGGATTCATTGAAATCATGATTTTTAAAGAGGAAAATAGCCTTCTGAAAAATAAGTGTCTCGGTTGCAATATTTCCGTTTACAAGAAGAGATGGCATCAGAGGTTTTAAAAGTTATTTTGGGATCTGTGTATCCCAGGGTTCCCTGAGCTATGTAGCCCACAGACATGCTGACTTGGGATGGAGACTCTTAGTTACAGTCCAAAAGTTGATTGTTTCATGCACTGGAGAAAATGTGCACCCATTAAAATCTGAAGTGAAATATTGCAAAAAACCAGTATTTTAAAAATAAAGAGGTCAGCTGTCGAGTGTTGCATTTTTTAATTGTGTTTTCTATTTCTCACTCTTTTTTTTGTGTAGGTGAGGAAGTGAAAAATCCACAGAAAGCCATTCCAATTGGAATTGTGGCATCGCTTCTCATTTGCTTTGTTGCATACTTTGGTGTGTCTGCTGCTCTTACCCTCATGATGCCTTACTACTTGCTAGACAGAAACAGCCCACTGCCGGTTGCTTTTAAGCATGTGGGATGGGATGGTGCCAACTATGCAGTGGCTGTTGGTTCCCTTTGTGCTCTTTCAACAAGGTAAGGTGCTGTGGTTTCCTGTGAACTCGCTCAGTGGCCTCTGGCATCTTACCTGCCTTTAAAAAAAAAATGATAGGGATGCAAAGGAGGCAAAGACTGTCTCATGAAAATGGCCTTTTGTGTCTTCTGCTCTGCTTATGACTTGATCGAAGCAACTGCATCCCATCATAGTAGAAACAAAAGGTCCCCCTTTCCCCAGAAAGTCCCCTTTTCCAAAGAAGGCAGTTTTATGCTTAGAGGCATACTGTTACTGTAGTTATTGCCTTAAGAATGGTAATAAAAGCCAGTAGAGTGTAATGGGGAGAGTCTGGGACTAGGACTCAAGAAATCTGGCTTCAAATCACCACTCAGGTGCTGAAAGTGGGTAGGATAGTGGTATTTTCACTGACTCCTTTTTGTGCTCTCAGAGTGCTAATGGTTAGGATCTAGAAAAGATGGGAGTAGAGCTGGCTGGATCGCTCAGGGGGGGAGTTTGATTCCATACTCTGCCTCCTGCAAGTAGAGCTAGCTTGCTTGATCTTGGGCAAGCTGCACAGTCCCAGGATGCTCCCAGAAGAACAGAATGGTAAACCACTTCTGGGTATTCTCTACCTGAAAGATCCTGAAAAAGGATCACAGTAAGCCAGAATTGACTTGATAGTACGTGATTATTATATTATTAGAGCATAGAGGATAATTTTTGTAGCTCAGGGACAGAACACATTCTTCATGTGCACGAGGTCTCACGTTCAATCAATCTTGTCTCAAATCCCCTACCCCAAAATCCCAGAAAGCTGTGTTTGCCAGTGTGCAACAGCCGCCTCCAAGCCGGTGTCCTCCACATGTGTTTAAATACAGTTCCCATCATCCCCAGCCAAAGGGTGGATGACAGACAGAAGTCGATTCTCTTCGGCCTGGCCACTTATTCCATATATCAGTTTGACCCTTGTGAAAAAACATTTATATTCTGAACCTTAATTGACTTGTTTAGCTAGTCAGTCAACCTTCTTTAGACTGAGACAAGACATGAGTGCAGCCTGCAGACCTTTCAGTTGTTGTGAGAAGGAGAAACATCCAGCTCTCATAGCTGGAAGATGCCAAGATATTTCCATTGTATTCTCGAAGGCTTTCACAGAGCATGGACAGAGTTCCTACTCCAGTCCTCTGAAGATGCCGGCCATAGAGATTGGTGAAACATCAGGAAGAACAACCTTCAGAACACGGCCAAAGAGCCCGAAAAACCCACAACAACTATTTCCATTGTGTTTCTCCCTCAGCGCTAACTGAATAGCAGCTCGTTCTGACGTCAGACACTGGTGTTGAAAAGTGTGATAATTTCCTAAGAAAAGTACCTTCCTTAAAACTGTATTGATGCAAAGTTTCGGCACTTTTTCTTTTGGTCTTCTACATGCATTGTGGTATGCCAAATACGTGGTAAAGGTGTGCTACGCTCTTGTCTTTTTCTAGTCTGCTTGGATCCATGTTTCCAATGCCTCGAGTTATTTACGCCATGGCAGAAGATGGACTACTGTTCAAGTTTTTGTCTCATGTTAATGAGAGGACAAAGACTCCAATGATTGCTACACTAACCTCAGGTGTTGTTGCAGGTAAGAATCCCTGAGACAGAAGCCAGTAACCACTAGGTTTTGTACAATCTGAAGGCTGGGATTGCAAGTGAAATGCTGGTGTAAAGGACAAAATACCTGGGCAAGTTTGGGTTCTGTTGCCTCGAAAGTTGAAAATAAAAATCCATTGCTAAAAGCAGCCACTCTGTATGGTGCAGGTGGATGCTAGAGTGCTCTTCCACCCCACAGAGTCTAGCAGACTGGCAGGGAGGGCATGATGAAAGGAAGAAACTTAACATCATGGTTGAATTTCAGAAAGCCTGATTTTAGTGGCAAGAGGAGAAGGGGACGACCAAGGATGAGATGGCTGGACAGTGTCTGCGAAGCAACCAACATGAACCTGACACAACTCCGGGAGGCAGTAGAAGACAGGAGGGCCTGGCGTGCTCTGGTCCATGGGGTCACGAAGAGTCGGACACGACTAAACGACTAAACACACACGATTTTAGTGGAGGCACAGAGATCTTGTATATTCTGCAATATTTCCTGTTCTTCTCTAGAGTTCTCTGCTCTTGATTGTTGTCTGCTGGTGTATTACATTTTCTCCTGGCAAACCCAAATGGGCAGTTCATCTTACTGTGTTCACTGAATCCTTCTGCATCATAAATGCCTCATCCTTCAAACAATAATTTCTTGACTAAATCTGCCAACACAGGATGGCTAGCAGCTAAGGTTTTTTTGTTTGTTTGTTTTTTGGCACTTTCTCAGTAATTCTACAGATACACCAAAATACCTGAAAGTTTCACAAGAACAATGACTCTTGAATTTGGGATTTATTTATTTTTATATCAGAATGGGATTTTTCCAGACAGGCCGTTTATCTGTTACAAAATAATGGGCCAGGATTAGGACATACATACCCACAAGTAACTGGAGTTACTCTTTGCTATTTTTCACGGTTGGAATTGCACAGTCTAGTATAGGAAATGAAATATCCTGCCACTTTATCTATCTGTGTTTTGTTTACTCCACTAGCTGTCATGGCCTTTCTCTTGGACCTGAAGGATCTTGTGGATCTTATGTCCATTGGGACACTTCTGGCTTACTCTTTGGTGGCTGCCTGTGTGCTGGTACTGAGGTATGGAATAATATTTCTGTGTTGTGATGCAGTGAAACAAACCCTCTGAGTAGTCCACGTGTTCCCAGTCAGATATTCCAGAAAGTGTCCTGATCTCTTGCTCCCATAGCAGTAGACAGTGAGAGGACCATTAGATGCCTTTGGGAGCATCTTCAGAATAAGGGCAAATACTGCCTTAGCATGAAGACTCATTTGAGGAAGCTTGCTTGCCTGCACCCTCAAGGGTTTCTTTTGTCTGTCTAGCCATACGTTCCCGAGTGTAGGTAGCTTTGGGATCTCTTTTGGCTTACATCTTACTGCCTCTTTGGCATAACGATGGCAGCACAACTGTTGTGATTATCTCCTTTTTCTTTGCTTTCTTTGGCAAGTTTCTTCCTGTTAACATCTGGCATGTGATAGCTTTATTCACAAAGCTGTTTAGGCTCATCTGCAGGCTTTTAAGACTTGAATTCCAATTGTTGCTCTAACTAGAGTAGATTGATCGAATCAGTTCCTGAATGGTGAGTTGATAACTTCAGTAGATCCCATTGAATCAGTGGGTGGATTTGAAGTACAACAGCCAGTTGCATTTAGGCTCGCAAGATTTAGCAGTTTTTGTAGGTTTTGCTGCTTAGCTAGAGGACCTGTCAGTCAAAGGCAGATATCATATAAAATAGGATCTTGCAAGATTAGATAGAAACAAACAGAATCATGTGTACAGAATCTGTTCCTACCATCCCTGATATAGCAAAACTGTTGGCATCTTATGTTGCAATTTTTATCAGTAAGTTATGGAATATGTTTGATGGAATAAAATTATATGGGCTTGATTCAGTTGTATATCCCAAGTAGAAGAGACATCTGCAGTTTTCAATGGGACTTAATTCAACATGAATATAACTCCCATTGATTCACTTATATAATTCTCATTGGGATTATACAATTGAATTTAGCCCTGTATGTTTTAGTTGGATTGAGTGATAAAAGTTGAAGTTTCTTTCCATTGGCGAATGCTGTAAAGGATTTGGGGTAGCCATGAGGTCAGAATATTCTGGTAAAGTTTGCTCACCTGTCAACTTTGAGATTAATTGTTTATCATGTAGAAAGAACAAAATAGGACAACACTCCTTGTGGGTGGATTTGTTATGATGATGTTCAGTAGATTTTGTTTTGTTTTATTTTAGGTACCAGCCTGAGCAGCCTAACCTGGCATACCAGATGGCTAGTACAACTGATGAAGTGGACAACAATGAATCTGTGAGCACAAGTGAATCGCAGACTGCATTTCTACCTGAAGAGGAGGAGAAGTACTCCCTGAAAGCTGTTATCTTCCCACAAAATACTGATCCTTCCAAACTCTCTGGGTTTATTGTGAATGTTTCCTCTTTTATCATAGGTAGGAGTTGTAACCTTGCCAGTTGATTCTAGGGAACTGTTGGTTTTCCTGGTTCAGCTAAGTTTTGCCGTGCCCTTCGTAAAAATAAATATAGAGTGCGAAGAGAGTGGTTTCTTCCTGCCTGTGTCGGAGCCTGAAAAATACATGATGTAAAATCCATATGTGATTTTGTCTCCATTTTGTAGGATTTAGGGGTTTCCCCAGGACCCACTGTCATAAAAACAAGTGAATTCCAGTGTTTTGTTTTATTATTGAGACCAATAACCTTTTTAAAAATCTCTTGCTGACATAGAGTCCTTTTTAAGATTTGCTATAGTCTGTTTCTAAGCTTAGGAGCTGTGCTGGGGAAGAGAGAATATGTGGCCAGCGGGGCCACAATATCAGCAGCTCCCAAGGCCATCCTGAAGCCAAACCCCCAGTAGAAAATCCCTGTTTCTGCTCTTGGATATTTTTTTTGCCACTTAGGGGGCTGGAAAGTTTTTCCCAAAACCTACCTCCAAAATACCCAAAATGGAAATTGCACATGCCTGTCTAGGTATTTTCTGTTGTGGTCCATCAAAGAGGCTGGGGGGGATGGGGTGTAATTTGGCTGCCAAAGGCACCCATCCCAGATCTAACCCATGAACAAGTTCTGATGATGTCAATTGTTGTTGTTTAGTTGTTAAGTCGTGTCCAACTCTTCGCGACCCCATGAACCAGAGCATGCCAGGCCCTCCTGTCTTCCCACTGCATCCCAGAGTTGGGTCAAATTGATGCTGGTAGCTTAGATTACACTGTCCATTCATCTCGTCCTCTGTCGTCCCCTTCTCCTCTTGCCCTCACACTTTCCCAACATGAGGGTCTTTTCCAGGGAGTCTTCTCTTCTCATGAGATGGCCAAAGTACTGGAGACTCAGCTTCAGTATCTGTCCTTCCAGTGAGCACTCAGGGTTGATTTCCTTCAGAATGGATAGGTTTGTTCTCTTTGCAGTCCAGGGGACTCTCAAGAGTCCATCAAATTGAGTTCCTTAAATCTGTTCTTCACTTCCACTGAGTTTTGCTATAAGAAGCTGATGATCATAGCCCCATCAGCACCAGGTCCTTTTTTTCTGACTGTATAGAGCTTCTCCGTCTTTGTCTGCAAAGAGCATAATCAAACTGATTTCAGCATTGCCCATCTGGTGATGTCCACGTGTAGAGTCGCCTCTTGTGTTGTTGGAAAAGAGTGTTTGTGATGACCAGCTTGTTCTCTTGACAAATCTCTATTAGCCTTTGCCCTGTTTCGTTTTGAACTCCAAGGCCAAACTTACCTGTTTTTCCTTTTATCTCTTGACTCCCTACTTTAGCATTCCAGTCTCTTATAATGATAAGAACATCTTTCTTTGGTGTCAGTTCTAGAAGGTGTTGTAAGTCTTCATAGAACTGGTCAATTTCAGTCTCTTCAGCATCCGTGGTTGGTGCATAAACTTGGATTATTGTGATGTTGAAAGGTCTGCCTTGGATTCGTATTGACATCATTCTGTCATTTTTGAGATTGTATCCCAGTACTGCTTTTCCCACTCTTTTGTTGATGATGAAGGCTACTCCATTTCTTCTATGGTATTCTTGCCCACGATAGTAGATACGATGATTGTCTGAATTGAATTTACCCATTCCCGTCCATTTTAGTTCACTGACACCCAGGATGTCAATGTTGATTCTTACCATCTCCTGTTTGACCACATCTAGCTTCCCAAGGTTCATAGATCTTACATTCCAGGTTCCTATGCAGTATTCTTCTTTGCAGCATTGGATTTCCCTTCACTTCCAGGTGTGTCTGCAGCTGAGTGTCCTTTCAGCTTTAGCCCAACCACTGCACTAGCTCTGGAGCTACTTGTACTTGTCCTCCGCTCTTCCTCAGTAGCATATTGGACGCCTTCCGACCTGAAGGGCTCATCTTCCAGCATCATATCTTTTAGCCTTTTGTTTCTGTCCTTGGAGTTTTCTTGGCAAAGATACTGGAGTGGCTTGCCAGTTCCTGCTCCAGGTGAATCACGTTTAGTCAGAACTCTCTACTATGACCTGTCCATCTTGGGTGTCCCTGGATGGCATAGCCCATAGTTCCTCTGAATTACTCAAGCCCCTTTACCACAACAAGGCAGCAATCCATGAACGGAGATGATATCAATTAGTTTTGTGCAATAGCTAGTTATCCTTCCTTGGTTGATATCCTGTTACACTTGACATAACATAAAGTTACACATGCAGAAGTTCACAATGATCTGCACCTTGGCAGTCTCTGTGTTAGATTGCTGTGTGCTGACCCCACATTTGACCACATACTGACTGTGCAGCTGACTGTATAATTGCTTCCTGAGTATGACGTCTGTCTTGGTGCAGATTTTGCAACAGCTTGCGTAAAACCAAATTATTCTGGCAGAGCTACACAACAGGATTTTGGCCAATGAGTATTGCATATTCCATTCCCGGAAGTTCAGTGCCATTTGGAAAAGTATTATTAAACAGATATGTGAACATGCACTCGGAAAATGCCATCCACATCAGTCATGCATTGAGGACTGCATGGATTTTCTCAGCGGGATGGAAAGATACTGTTTTATTGCCAACCTGCAATCTCTGTTGATGAAATTAAAAGAAACTGGTGGAGACATACCTCTGAAATCCATGTTTGCACAGTTTTCGGAACAGAGAATTTATACCTTGATTTTCTATGTTGATGTTGTCCTCTTCCATTACAGTAGTAATAAACTGTTCATTTATGCCTGTATATTGTGCTCTCTATCCACAGCTTCTGCTGGGGGGGGGAGCGTTTGGGGGAGTAACTGCCTAGGCAAGTTGATGTGTTGGGAGAGGGGGATATTTTCTGTTTTTTAAAATAAGGATTCACATCTGGATCTTCCTGTGCAGAGGGCTGGCAGCTGACAAATTTGCCTCCTCCCCCATGGACAGGCTTTAAAAAAAATCATGGGTGGAATAAATAGTGGATGTTAACATAGCAAGCAGAATCAGATGGCTTCAAAGAAGTCTATAGTCGGTACTTGCATATGTGGAAGCTTTGTCTCTGAACTGGAACAAGCCATAGATCGGTGCTGGAGATGTCTCTCTTCTTGTCTCTGCTTCAGAAATATACAGCTGTCTTTGTATTTCTGCCCTGCTCTTAAGAGTTCAGCAAACATGTTCATGTATTTTCTTCACAGGTTTTCTTATCGTCACCTTCTGCAGCTTGACTGTCCTTGGCAAAGAAGCTCTGATAAATGGGAAAACGTGGGCCATTACTTTGCTTGTTATAGTTTTCGTCCTTTGTTTAGTTTTCATAGTGATTATTTGGAGACAACCTGAAAGCAAAACCAAGCTCTCATTTAAGGCAAGTAGTCACCTCAGGAAGGATTGTGTGGGTTTTTTTTTAATTGTTGCTGGGGAAGCAGTCTGAGTCTTTGCTGCTTCCATGCCTGAAACAAGAGATCAAAGAGATGTTAGTTGCCTGTTGCCAGAAAGGGAGAAATGGATTGGAGGGAAAGATGGGGATATAGAACAAACTTTCTCACGGAGATTGGCTCAGCTCACCTCAAGCCTGACCTTCAGTACGCCTTGATTCTCCTGGCAATCTGCCTGTTGTATTCAGAAGGGTACAGGCAGTAGGGTATGGAAGGCTGCCTTTTCCTTTTGGCTCTCCACATAGTCTCCAAAAAGCACCAACACATCAGACTGCAGTGCATCCTCCGGAAAGAATTCTATTCTTGCTTCTCACAGAGCAGTAAAACAGCAGCACTAAGCCTGTTAATATCTTTTGAAACTGGAAAGGGATCTTCCATCTTTTTTGGTTTATCTGGTAAGCCAAGGGTAACCAGATAAACCATAATATTATCTCTGCATTTGAAAACCTATAGATCACTGTTCTGCTTTTTAAAGAATGCCTCATGTGACACTCAACTGCAGAATCCATGAGAGAACAACAACATCTAGGCTGCAGTCTGATTCACACTGGAATGTACGCCCCATAGAACTCAATGAGAGTCAGAGGTGACTGATCACGTTACAGGAATGCGCTGTATAAACAGTCTGTGAACAAAACTGTACTGCAAGGTTGTACAAAATGCAGCCACAGAAATACCACAAGAGAGCTGATGGAAAAATGTTAAAGGTGAAAACAAAATCAATTTAAAAAAATAAAAACAAAAACATGGGGGCACTTTTATATACAGTGGTGCCTCACTTAACGATTTTAATTGGTTCCAAAAAAAAAAATCGCTATGTGAAAACATTGTTAAGCGAAACACCATTTCCCATAGAGATGCATTGAAAACCGGATAATCCGTTCCAATTGGAACGGATTACCATGCTTAAGTGAAAATCCCCGTAGGAAAAAACGTTAAGCGAAACCCATTGAAATGCATTGAAGCCTATTTCAATAGGGGAAAAAAATTCACAAAAAATTCAGAAAGACTCAGAACAAAGCCAAATTAAGTTAACGAAGGTTTTATTAGATGCACTAACAATTCCAAGCATTTTAAACATTTTGTAAACATTTTAGAATATTTTAAAAATAGCAAAAACGGGGCTGTAAAAAAAAAGTTAAGCGAAACAAGGGGACCTAAAACTGTCATCGTTAAGTGAAGCATGGTCCCGAAATCGTTAAGTGAAAATCGCCCATAGGGAAAATCGTTAAGTGAAGCACAAGATCACTCCGAAAAAGCCATTGTTAAGTGAATTTTTCGTTGTACGAAGCAATCGTTAAGCGAGGCACCACTGTATATTTCTAATGTCAGATGAAAAGTGTGTGTGTGTGTGTGTGTGAAAAAAAAATAAAGACAAAAACATGGGGGCACTTTCATATATATTTCTAATGTCAGATGAAAAATGTGTGTGTGTGCGCGCGCAACCAAAGGAGAGGGAGGAAAAGTGGTGTGGTTCTTGCACACAATCCAAAAGCAAAGGTAGGTGGTATCTTCATGAGATCACTGTGCAACCCAAAGGAGAGGGAGGAAAAGTGTGGTTCTTGCACACAATCCAAAAGCAAAGGTAGGTGGTATCTTCATGAGATCACTGTGCAACCCTTCATCAAGCTGGGCACTGCATATCTGTGGACAGTGCAGGAAAAGCACACAAGTTCCAGAAACCATGGCTAGACATCTATGCCACTTTTAAAATCACAGCTGCAAAGCTAGCATTTTTTTGTGATTTTTGGGGTTTTTCCCCCCGTGATCTAATAGAAGCCTCACCTACCCTTGCTTGTGGAGTGTGTGTAGCCAGGGTTCCCTGCTAAACATGCAGAAGCAGAGATGATTTTGGAACCACAGCTGAGAATCCCCCATTTGGGGCGCTTTGCATTGGTATTGTTTGATGTTACCCTGTCATGACTGAAGGCTGTACTGAATTATAAATGAGTGAAGTTGTTCTCCACTTTCTGCATCCCTGGAGTTGTACATGATCCCTTCCTACTCAAATCATCATGACAACAGTCAAGTGGTTTAGGTTGAGAGTAGAGACGGGGGGGGGGAAGGGTATGAATATGAATACCCCTGCACAGCTGGATGTAACGAGGGTTACGTAACTGTCCACTCCCCCATCCACTGCTGCAGCTGGCTCTGCTCTCCCTTCCAATCACTCTAGAGCTCACGGTCGACTAGCCACTCCTGGCAGGAGGAGGGAAGACAAGCCTCCGTGTTAGGCTGATGAGTGGATAGCTGACCACGAGCTCTGGAGCGATTGGAAGGGAACAAGAAGCCGGCTGCAGGAGTGGACGTTCTGGCCCCAGGGGGCCAGACCCTTGTTATGTCCACCTGTGTGGGGGGATACGACCCAAAGAGTGGCATGACGTGCATGCTGTCTTGCCTGTGTGGGGGGATACGACTATGAATACCCCCCATCTCTAGTTGAGAGGTTAACTGTCTCAGGCTTGCCCTAATGACCTGCATGAACTTGGATTTGCTGAGATCTAAACTGACTCAAAGGTCTAGTGGGTCTTCTTTAAAGCCGTTTCGCCCACCCTTTAACCAAAGAGTGGCATGACGTGCATGCTGTCTTCCATCCAGAGCTGATTGTACATGGAACTCCCTGCTTGCTGCTGGCAAAGGGAATGTGTAGTATAAATTAAACCAAAAACTTAACAACCAAACCCTTTTAACAAAGTCACAAGAGTAAAATCTCAGTGGCCATCTACAGAACGTAATCCTATATTTTTTAACAGAAACAGGACATACTAAAAGGCAAGTGAATGGGGATGGTTTCATCTTATCTATCAGGACAAGGTACACTTGCTAAATTTCTGTGTGTGCATGTATGTGTACTAGGCTGCTGCTGAATGTCCAGTAAATAAAAGATTGCTACTATTTTCAGAATACATGGCAAAAATAGTCACTTTGTCACCCTATGTAATCAAGTGATGTAATTTCCCCTTTGCTTTTTCAGGTCCCCTTTCTTCCCGTCCTTCCAGTCTTGAGCATCTTTGTGAATATGTATCTTATGATGCAGCTAGATGGTGGTACCTGGATACGGTTTGCCATCTGGATGTTAATAGGTGAGTCTTATTTACTGAGGCATGGGAAGATCAGAATATAAGCAGAACATGAAGCAAAACACAGCGATGCCTTCCCTAGGGTCAACTCCACACCAATTCCTGCTTTCATCTGTTCCCAGTCATTCATATCATGGTGTTTAGATTGCTACCATTGCATTCAGGACAGCTGCTGATGCCTGTTCCCAAGGTAGATGCTGTGCTCTGTGTGCTGTCAGATAACTTGATACACTGTAATCCTGCTACTTTTCCTCTGTTCCTCCAGGTATGATTATTTATTTTGCCTACGGCGTATGGAATAGTGTGGAGGCCTCTTACACAGCACCAACAGATACAGAAAGAAGTCCAGACAACAATATGGACAGTTGCAAATGATGGTTGTGCTAAAGGACAGCTGAGTTTCTGCTGCAGAGAAGGATGCTTTCCTGTTTGGGACCCTCAAGTATTTTATCCCATAGAACATCAGGTGGGCTTCCATGCCCACCACTGCCTCTTGCAGCTTGCTTATGCAATTGTGGGGCAACTGTAAGGAAACAGCCAGGCCTCTGGCATACTCCTGACCATACTGTTACCTGATGCCGGCAGCTCACTCCATCCCCACCCACACTTCTCATAAGTTACTTTGGAAAGGAAAGTGCTTTTCTGCATGCCAGTTGACTTCCAGTGCTGCTATGAGACCAAGCCTTTCAGAGGACCTGCCATTTAACTCTCTGGCTGCTGTATTTAAAAATATACATTAGTATAGAGCAAACTGCATTGTTTGCCTGCAGAACCACCTGTAATGCACCACCCAAGCCAAGGTGTTGTTGTGTTAGAAACAAGTCAAAACATAAACCATCCCCTGTGCTATAAAATGTATTGCCCTTCCAAGACTTGATGTGATTTTAAAGGAGGGATCGGGGGATCTTATTTAACCTTTGTACTTGATGTATTTTGTGCAGGTAACTCCTGTGCTTTGAAATGCAATATTGCAGTGATCTCCTGTAAGGTAGTTAGTGGCTTGCAGACTGAATATCTTGCTCCTGTCTGACAAATGCTTGTTTAGACCCATAGCAGAGCTTGTGGTTATAAGAAAAGTTTCTAGCTTATGGTATAATTCTGTGTAGAAAACAATGTCCTTTATTCATCTCCTATTAGTCAAGGTATGTGTATCACTTCTGCAAAATCAAGAACAACTCTTGTCAATTGCATGTTTGGGATGTTGCATTCCACCCTGTGGGGTAATTCTGGCCAGAGTAAGTGCTTTCCAATCCTTACGTTGCTCATTTTCACGATAACCTTGTGAGGTATATCAGGGAAATTCCTTGAAGCTGAGAGAAAGCAATTGTGTACAATTGTCCAGTAAATCTGTTGTAGAATAGGCTTTGTATCCTGACTTGCAGAGCCCAACTGAATGCTGTTTGTCATAGCTATGTTTTAAAAATAATTTATTTGAAGCACATAATTTGAAGGGAAGGTAGTATGGAATTTGGCTTTTCTCTGCTGATAAGGAACCACCTTTAATTTATGTACAGTGAGAGGATTTGAGACAGGTGCGTGGTCTGTGAAGCAAACCTTCGGTGGAATGCTTCAGTTTCAAGGGGTTAACATCAATAGCCAGGCGTGAGTGCATGTGAATTCACCAGGCACCATGAATGAGTTCCTGCTGATAGATTTGTGAAGCAGTTTTCTGCTGTCAGTCAAGTGGTGTTCTTGTTTAGTACATGCTTGAGAGTCCAGCTTAGCTGTGCTGAACTCCAAATAGGATTTTGTTCCTTTGTGCAGACGTTTCTGGTACATGCACGTACTAAGTTTGAAGTGAGTCCTCTTAAGCAGCAACGGCTGATGAGGTAGCTAGTTGTGATTTTAATGCCATCTGTTAGCCGACTATTCGCAGATAGAGAGCCATGTTGTTATCAAAATGAGGATTCCGAAGGAAAGAAAAAACTAACATCAAATTCATACTTTAGAGAGAGAACAAGTTAGAAAGAAAACTATATATATATATATCTAAAGCCTTCTGGTAAATATTGTAGTTTATTGTTGTTAATATTTTTCTTCTGCATTGTCAGTCTTGTTGAGGACATGAATTTATTAATTATGAATATTATTTTTATTTGGTATTTATGTCTAGCTGCTTTATGTATTTGGGGCAAATTGTGTGGATAAGAGTGGCACTTGGATGAAAGGGAAATCTTTTTTTTGTTTGTTTTTTTAAAAGGGTTATTCCTGATTTGTGTGATGTAATTTAGAGGGGGGAAAGGTTCCTGCCTAAGTAGTTGGAGCAGATTATTATTGGAGGGCAAATCCAGTGTGTCCTGTAATTAACTTAAAGCACAACCCATCTCACAAAGGCAGGTGTGTGAATGGGAAAAATGGCAAGGGGAAGACTGGATCAAACAGTAGCCCACTTGTTCTGAGCACCAGCTAGCTCTCAGTGAGGCAAGGATAATGGACCAATCAGGGTGTTTTAAGTGCTTTAATTCCAAAAAGGTTTAGCCACCATGGGTTATGGGGGTGGTGGTCTAAGACACCTGGGTGGCCAGAAGTTCCTCACGGCTCCCCTTAAACTCCATTTATACATCATTTTTGCCATTTTATCAAAACTCATTTCAGAGCTTTCTCATCTAATTTGCAAGTGGGTCGCAGCAAAAATAGCAAAGAGTCCTGTGACATTTTGAAGACTATCAAGTTTTACTTGGCATGAACTTTCATTGACTCCACCTGCTTCATCTTGTGAAGTGGACTGTAGTTCATGAAAGCTTGTCATGAAGCCTATTAATCTTCCAGGGTGGCACAATACTCCGTGTTATCTTGTCTCATTTAATTAAGGCACACGGAATCCGTGGAGCTGGTTCTCTAGCTCTGGGCCCTGCTTCACCTCAAGGCGGGCTGCCCCACACATGGCAGAATTCCTACACAGAGATCGCTTTCCTGAAGAAATGTGCATGATTTCCAAGCCACCGTGGATCCTTTTTAGAAGAAAGGGAGGATAAAAATATTTTAAATAAATAAAATAATTAGGCCTGTGTCTATTTCCATTCTCTACTCGTGCTTTTATAATTGTGTAGATTAATTTCTTAAATTGTATTCCCACATGAAGAGGAAATGGTAGGCATCACAGCGACTGCTGTTTCTAGGCTGCTGATGGATGGGTGGATGGATGTCGATTACATCTCCATTCCAAATCAAGGGGTTCATCATTCCTTCAAAGGCCTGCACAGCATGGCATTTCAAGCATTTTCTCTCTCCTGTTTTCTCCTGCATGTTGCACATGGTCAGGGAAGGCAGCTGGAGAAGAGGTGAAGCAGGTGCCAAGATTCTCAGTTCTGGGGGCCTGTTCCCAAAAAGGCAGTGATGACAATTCTGTGCTATAAAACGTTTCAGAGTTCCAGTTTACACTGTAGTCCTGTATGCATCTACTCAGAAGCAAATCTCATTAAATTCAGTCGGGCTGACTTCCAGGCAAATGCTCATAGATTTGTTACACTGGTGTGGTTGTAGTTGTGAAATGCAATGTGGTTCACTATCTTAGAATTTAGTTTTATGTCTTGAGACCACACACGGAAGGGCAGTCATGCAGTAAGTCTTCCCTTTTGGGCAATCAGCTGTGTGCCTAGGAGTGTACCTGTTTTTGCAGCGAATGTGAGAATCCAGCATGCGAAGGAAAATCTGATGGTACAGGTAGGGGGGAAAGAGATGTTTACACAACTGCTTTTATGCAATTGCATAAATAAAGCAGATTCTGGCCTCACGCTGAGAGCATAATGTTTGGTCTGATATGTCAGCAAATTTGCTTCTTGCATGAGTGTATGTATGCACAAATACTCTGAGAAGCCTCCTGTTTTTTCCTTCAGGTGTGGAATTCATGCAAATTGCTCCATGAAAGTGACTGCAGGTGGGGATTTTGTACTGTGTATGGTAGCCCTGGGAATGGTTGTTCGCAAGTTTCCTTCTGAAAAAGGTGCTCTGATTAAGCCAGCCTTGGTTGTTGTGAGTTTTTTGGGCCGTTTGGCTGTGTTCCGTGTCCAGAACATGGCCAAACATCCTGAAGAACCCACAACAAGCATTGGATCCTGGCCATGAAAGCCTTCGAGAACACATTAAGCCAGCCTTCTTCAGTTCAGTGTCGAGTCAGATACACCGGATGTGCACAAATACTGGTCCTTGAGTAAGGGTGACTTATCCTCTGCCTGCACAAATGTTCTAAAAGCTGAGAAGAGAGGGAGTGTCCGGCAAAAGACCCTGGGATATCCCTATTGTTGAGTATCTTCCCTCGCTATATCTCTGTGCTGCTGTTTTCCTGAACAATCATCAGCTGGCAATCATTTGAGGTGGAGAGGACTAACGGGCTCTTCCTCCTCCTCCAAAGTAGTCTTGCACCAGCAAGCAGCAGAAGCCCCTGTGCCTCTCCTTGAGAACCCTAAAAGTAAGACTGTAGATATGGGTCTAGATATACAGGCAAAGCTTGAGTTTCTTAATGGGAACTGGGATGTTGCTGCTGTAAGTTTACTGTGGCAAAGGACAGGCTGTATTTTATTTTTAACTTGGTAAATAGTTGTCTCTGTAAATAGGTGAATAACTTGCTGTATGTTTTTATGAGAATATTGTTTTGTATAGCTGCTGGGACACTCAGCTGTATGTAAGGCCATGATCTGAAGTAATGCCTTCTTTTTAGTAACTGAAGAAAGAGACTGAATAGGGTTCCTCTCGTGTATGCTGTCTGAAACAGTGGTTTCTACAGAAGTCGGCTGTTCCTTCAGGACCTTTCTCTGCTTTGCTTTTAGGTTTTATGGTTTGTTTTCTTTTTTGTTGTCTAAACTCTTACTGGAGTATATATCTATGAGAGAGTGGGTGGGAGGGAGTGAAATGAACTGAAAATGCAGGCAAGGAATGCTTTACCTGCTATTTTAATTCCTTATCTAACAAGGGGAGGTGTTCACTGCAGAATGCAATAATGCTGATAGTTTTTATTTAACCAAACCCACAAGAGTAAATCTTGCTAATTGACTTTTGAGGTGGTTCTGGTCAAGATTTAGAAAGAATTCTGGTTATAGCAAAAGGTCTAGTTTTGAGATGTTTGAGTGAAATAACCCACAACCAATTGCATATGAGTTCACTTTTATTGAAGCCAATAGCATTCATGTGTATGTCATTTGTACCACTTCAAGTTACGACATCTTGAACTAAGATACTGTTTTATTTTTAACTTGGTAATTTTTTGCACCATAAATTTGGTCCAAAAAGATTGTACTTTTAATATGCAAATGTTGTTAGTTCTGTGTTTTCAATTTCTCGTTGGACAAAAGCACACCATTAGTCATTGCCTTCTTGTAATCCCCAAAGTTGCATAAACCCTGTAACAGATTTCAAAATTGTTGCTTCCTAGTTCAGTTTCAAATGCTGCACTAATTCTTACCAAAAAAAGAGAGTTGGAACCAAAATATTCTGATAAAAAATAATATATGACAATGTTGTAATATTCTTACTTGCGATTGTAATGTAAACTCTCCTGGGGAAAATGTTCTTTTTCTATATAAATATTTTGCAGGCATCTATCCTAAATTCGATTGCTAGTGTCACTTAGAACATTGAATTAGTGCTGAAGAGGAATCATCCTTTATGCCAGTGGTCCCCAACCTTGGGCCTCCAGATGTTCTTGGACTTCAACTCCCAGAAATCCTGGCCAGCAGAGGTGCTGGTGAAGGCTTCTGGGAGTTGTAGTACAAGAACATCTGGAGGCCCAAGGTTGGGAACCACTGCTTTATGCAACTCCCATGAATTCAATGAGTCTGCTCTGACTGAGACTACCAATTCATGCAATTTAATTCTTTCATGTTTCCTTGTTGTAACCGAATGTTATACTCCTTAACATAGGAGTTGATAGCTTGATGCTTTCTGGATGCTTAAGACTACAGTTCCCATAATCCCTGATCATTCATCATGCTGAAATGGGAGTTGTAGTCTGAAGTGTGAAGGATCCCAGGTTGGGTTGCTTCCTTTATGTGGACATGGATGTACTTTCAGCCCCAGTAGTTTGCTGAGGATAAGTTTACAGGGAAATTTCATACCACTTTAATTCCCTCCTTTTAGCCAAATCTGAACTTACTGATAAGTGCTTAAAAAAAGTATTCCTTAATTCATTCAGTATACTGGTGGACGTATGGCGACACCAGCAATAGAGTTTTTGGTTGTTTGTAAATGGTTAATATTAGGTTGGGTTCCAAAGTTTTTAGAACATTCATAAATGTGTGTAAATGACACTTCCAAAAGTTTAGGAAATCAGTGTGAAGTCATAGTCACTGCATTTTCATGCACTTTGATAAGATTATACTCCCACTTCAGTCCTTCTGGAGATTTACTGGAGACTGAGCAGATGTATGCTGTGAAGCCCAGTCCAAATACCTGAGCAAATAGCTCTGTTAAAATAATTGGCCTTCATGCCCGGTCACTTACTGGGAGGTGGTGTGGGTGAGGGAGGGTAACCTTACACCCTAGCTTCTTGTCAAAGAAGTGGCTATGCATCACTGTTGCTGGTGTTCTGATATAATTTTGTGAACACAATTCCAGAAGGTGTTTGGTGGAGGAACAACGTCTACGGGCACTATTTTCATATTCCGGCTTTCTTGTTCCCAGTAAATGGAAGCCTGTTGCTATGTCCGTGTGCTGCCTGGTTGGATCAACAGCATACCTATGTATTCAATGCGGTGCAAACCCCGTCGTGTTGAACTTGCTAACTGCTGTGTTTTCACCTCTCATGCATCTCTATTGAAAATTATGTGGGCTGGGTTATGTCATGAGATACTCCTCTTACAGCTGTGAAGAAGGGAATTCCTAAACTGTCTTGTGGACTTTTCCTACATTCACCAAAAACTCCTTTTATAGAGGTATTATATCTTGAGGGGTATAAACACCTTGGAAAGATTTTGTGCATATGGTTTTCAACAACTGTACAGATAAATGTTGATGCTGTATAGGGTGTTCCCTAGTAGGAAAAGAATGTTGTAACATTCTGTTATTTTTCTAAGCAGTCAAGGTTGGAATCCTGACTCAGGAGTAAGCCCCATTGAAGACACTGGGCTATACAACTCAGTCCAAATGCATAGGAATGCATTGTAAATTTAGATAAATTAATTTGCACACTACCAGAACTTCAGTAAAGTTGCCATTTTGAGAACTAATAGATAATGGGGAAAATCCTGTTGGCGTGAAACTATTCTACAGAGCCGGGTGACATCATCTATCTGGCAAAGGGAATCTTTAATTTAAACGAACCGAAAGCTTCCTACCATGCCCCCTATTTCACAGTTTAAAAAATGCATCTCAGTGTTCTGTACTGCGAAAATGGTTCAACACTTGTTTCCTGGCTCACATATCTTTGTAGATCCTGACATTGTCTTTGGAATGTTGTAGCTCTAAAGGAGGGGCGAATGTTGCTGTTACAAAGATCCAAACCTGTATTTCCTCAGGGTATTCTTCTTCCATGCTTATGGCATGTGTCCCAAGGTGGGGAAAAGTTATGCCAAGGTGATGAAACTTCTGGACAGTGAGAAATTTTCTTATCCAAATTACAAGCACTCATGCTTTTCTTCCCCAAGTGATGCAGTGGTTGTAATATGTGCACCTAATTAAGTGGAGGATTTCCTGTGTTTATGTTGTGCCTTTTAATGTATGTCTGGTCTCAGGAGCATAACGAATGGGCTTGGTGCCATTTTGAGTTATTACTTTAGAAATCTATCGGAACATGTGGGGGTTCTTCAGGAATACATCTCTTACTAACCCAAAAGCCATGAAAGAATATGTGCATATTTTTATTGAGTAAAATGTATATACTTTTCCGTTGACTGTTCTATTTTTCTAATGATTTCCTCAGAATTTTCTTACTGTTGTGATACTATTACTCAATTGTTGATGTTGACAGCGATTCCTGTTACGTTATCCTTCCCATTTGGGTGGAGTTTATATATATATTGGTTTGCTTGGGTTTTTGTTTCTCCCAAAATACAAAACCTATTTCTTAGTTTTTTTTAAAAAAATGTGAAACATATCTAGAACCTCTGCTTGACAGAAATATTTCTGCTGAACAATATTGTAAATACATTTCCCTCACAGTGTAGTTTTTTTTTTACTTTAGAGATCTGTAAATATGTGACATGGCATTAAAATGGTTTCTTGGAATTAAATAAATTATGTTACTTTCATTTTTCTTCATTGTTTTCTTTAAAATTGGTTTAGTTCAGCTGAACGGACCAATGCTTGTAATTACTCTTCTGTAACAGAATTTACCTTCTGGGAACATGCCTGTCCCTTACTAACACAGAGGGGTTCTTTCTCTCTTTAGTGGTACAGTCTTATCAGTCCTGTCTCACAACTTCTCATGATACTGTTATGTTCTGACCATTAGTCTAATGGAAACTTTCATAATTAAGTCATATGTGAGGCTTTAAGAACCGAACTGTGAATTCCTATTACCCAGGGGTGTGTGTCTGTGTTTGTGAGGGGGGAATTTGTCCCTCCATGTTGCTGGACTAGAAGTCCTTTCATCCTTCACAATTGTGGTTACAATGACATCACAGTGTTACCTATTCCTCTAGCTGCAAAACTTGAAGTAGCCAGTGAGGACAACATGGCGCATCAAAACATGGAATGCTGGAGAGTACAAAGCATGCAAAAGTTATTTTGCAGCAGGGAAGAGAAAGAAGCAAGCGGACCTGCAATGTCCACTTCTGGTGATGATGCTGGAAGTTCTTGGCATAATAAATCCAGAGTTCATTTTGTGTGAATGCACGTAACAAGAAAATTCAATGTTTAAACTACAGAAAATGCCACCACATTTTAATGAAAAAGAGAGAAGGGATTGTGGGAAACTGCTTCAAAATGAACTAAAAATGTTGTGTCTTGCTTGAACTCTTGTTGAACCCTCACTTACAAGCTGGATGGCACTCAACAGAAGTAGGGTATTTCTAATTGGCAAGGAAGCAAAAAACTAAACAAAAACCACCAGGAATGGAACTGGTAGCATATCATTAAAATGTGAGTTATTTACTCTTCCTGATTCTTGCCTCCATTTGTCTAGAAACCATATGGACCCAGATAGCTTTCACTTATATAACATTAGGTGCTGTAAATATTGTTACACAATCAAGTAAGCACCAGTAGTGCTATCCAGAAGAGGGAGTGACAGTAAGTGCAGCCAACAGGCCCAGAGCCACCCAGGCACACACAGTTATTGAGCCCATTGCCTTTCAATGGATTAAGCTTCACCAAATTCATAGTATTTGTAGAAACAAAGATAAGGGGTAATGTGTTTAATTTATAGATGCTTTTTTTTTTTAAAAAAAGACACAACCAATTGCACCCTCCTGCTGCTGGATTATAGCTATACAGAACCACAGAGAACCATGACATGCCAAAGATACTAATGCTGGAGCATGATTTTATTGTCATGAATATATACAACAAACCTGTACACCATAACTGAAATAATACAAAGGTTTATTTTTTTCCTGTAATCCAAGTTGGCCATTAAGTCATACTACAAAGTCCTACTGCCAGGGAATGAGAGGTTAGGGGGAAACTTTACATAAGGATCCACTGTGTGTCCACAGGACACAAATGTATTCAGTGCAGAGATTAAAAATAAATAAATAAAAATACCTGATTTGGGTTATTCCTATTGGATCCACAGAAGATCTTTGTTGTCCAATACATGCTGACTTACTTGTGAGACATTGTGATATGTGCGATGTCATTCAAGTGCAGCAAAAGGGAAGCTTTTTATTCTCTTCTCTTGTGAGACTGAAATGCCCAAGGCAGCAGAAAAGTTCTCGGGAGACAATTTACCAGCTGGAAAGGATTTTGAGGAATTCTGGGACCCCAAACAGACTCACTCGCCCCTTTCTCTGGTTCAAGCAGAACTCTGTGAAGTGCCACACTTGGATCTTACCCATTGAGTTTGGCTATCGCAGAACCTGGAAACATAATTTACTCATTTCTTACTTCTTTGAAGCATGGGTAGTGAGAAAACCTGCTGGTGAATTGCACTTCTGCATTTGGTTTCAAGTGCCTTCTTGATATTAATGACAACTCTTTTGCCCAATGGGTAAGATCCAAGTGTGGCACTTCACAGAGTTCTGCTTGAAAGGGGCTAGTGAGTCTGTTCCTTGTAATTCTCTTACCCTTACAACAGACTGCGCCCTGGAAAAGTTTGCTCAGCTGGAGAGACTAAGAATCCATGCTGAGTAGGGTGGGAAGAAAGAGGTAGGTCGCAGAGCAAAAGGTTGACTCCTTGACATTTCCCCTACAGATCCTCTGTAGGATCTTGGAGCCAAATCTGGCTCCAACCCAAAACATACATTGTGATCATCATATTCCTCTGGAAGGGAAAATAGCACAACTAATTGGCCATTAAAAAAGTTGCATCCAACCTCACTGAGCACAAGAGGACAATCTCAAAGGGAGCCGATTTTGTTCACTCGTAAGAGCTCCCACTTTTCCTAATAAAAAGGAAAGAGGAATTCGGACAGGAATTTCTTATTTTATTTTCCTTTATTTTGGGGGTTTGGCAGAGACCTTAAAGAGGTTTCACTAAGGTCCCCAGAGTTAGAACTTGCTATTCCTGCAGACCTTCAGGAGTTGAAATAGGACTTTTAAATTTAAATTTAAATTTTAAAGCTTGGTGGTCTTGGCTGCAAAAATGCCCTGCATGTGTATGCTTGCAGGTGGCTCACCAGCCACATGTTGTTCAACCTCTGCTTTTAAATCTTCAAATTGGTATTAACATCAATCAAATACAAGACAATACCAGAGGTAGAGAGGGGTGAGTGGACATGCACATCTCATTGTGGGGAAAGCTAAGGTGAGAGGGTTCCTATGCTGTGCAGGAACAGGAAGTGCAAAAAAGCAGCAACACAGCTTGCTCTCAATTGTCTCCTGCACATGTGTAAAATCAGAAGAGAAATCCTTTTGTTAAATTTATGCATTTCATGGTGGGAGGGCAGGCGGATTGAGAACATGGCTAAAATCTGAAAGGACTGCCTCCCTTGGCCTATGGAGTATAGCATGTGATGAGAACTGTGCAGCATCCTATCAGTCTATTATGGAATAGGAGTTGTAAACTATTGTCATTCATAAGGCTTTCCCCTACCCTACACTGGCTTATCCTTCCTGAATTTCGGAATCTGCATGGAAATTAGCACACAATGGCCTTAAAGATAGCTACTGCAAATTCCACACCCGGGTGAGACTTTGCTCCTCTCTCTTGGCACTGCCAACACTCATGGAGCAGAAGCTTCCTGAAGAGCCCCCATAACTAGTTAGAAGGTAACAGAGCTAGAAAAGGCTATGTTATATTATATTTTGGGCTACAGCTCTCACCTAGCTAGCACAGGGAGCCTGGGAACAGTAATCTAATCAGTATCTTTTTTGAGCTTTAGACGGTGGCTAGGTGAAAAAGTACTCTTAATTCCTTCCCCACCACCACCACCACATCGCTCAGTACCTTTGCCTGCTAAAACAAAACAGTAAACAGAGATTTGTACTTAGCTGACATATTTTCCTACTGCTTTTCCTACTGAGATGGAAGGTTAATCATGTGTGTACAGTGGACCCTCGACTTACAGACGGCTCGAGTTACAGACTTTTCGAGTTACAGACTTCTCTGGCTGCAAAATTTAGATTCGACTTGCAGCCAGAGAATCGACTTACAGACCAGAAAAAAACCAAAATGGAATAAAAATAGAATAAAAACCACTGGATATAGGATTAATCGGTTTTCAGTGCATTGTAGGTCAATGGAGATTCGACATACAGACTTTTCGGCTTGCAGCCACCATTCCAATACGGATTAATTCCTTAAGTAGAGGGTCCACTGTACTGTATATCTACTGATCTATATAAAGTCACCAACTGATTGATGTTCCATTTCATTTCAGCTGTTTCTCTGTTTGTCTTGCTGCTTATACACTTTGTCTTAAGGACAGAATCCTATTAATCTGAGGCAATTTAAGGAGCCAGTGAAGGCATTTCTTATGGCACACTAGCTGTATGGCTCAGAAAAATGCCTACTCTGACTGAAGTTATAGGAATTAACCACTGAAAGTTACGCTGCTGATGTAACACAGTGGAGAGATATGCAATAAGATTCTGGCCAGTATATTTCAGTAACTGATTTCCCACAATTTCACAGTCTTACAATTCTCTCTTGGAAATGAGCCTCATGGCATCTTGTGAAAAAGCAGCAGGCCTTTAAACAGCGATGTGTCAGGACTGTGGTGGCAACTGGACTTTCGGCTTGATGCTGCAATGAGACAGCAGGAGGAGGGAGCTCCATCCCCTCGGCCGAATTCCGCCCTGTTTGGGACCCTACAGTGGGTTAAAAGCACCCCAAAGAGGTGGTGAAATGAGGGAGAAGCTTGTTGATCACAGGGGGAATGGTGGTTACCCATGTTTGATCCAGGAAACTCCCCAATCAACCAGCCAGAGGAAAGAAGCATCTGAACTAGCTTGCTTGCAAGTGTCAGCAGCTGGCAATGGAGAAGTGATAAATCAGCCTAATTAACATTGTGTTACTACTGGGTGAGAATTTTTTTTAAAAAATTGTATTGCTTTACTATCCCTGGATGAGACAATTCCTATGGCAGAAATAGTGTCTTCTATTCCTCAACACTGACTGAGGAACAGTGAATCTGGAGAGAGGAGGAGATGCAGGGAGACACAAGGAAAATAAATAGGATATTAATTAGACATTTAATTATACTTCAAGGACGGACAATTGCTATAATTTTGTTGTTATAAACTTAAGAATCTTTCTCTTGAAAACATCATTGAAAACAACTCTGGGAAACTAAACTTATTTATGCCATGTGTAACAGCTATCTAAAGTCTTGGCAAAAAGCCTAGAATCAATGACCTTGAACACTTTATGGCTGTTTGGAATTCTTTCTTTTTGAGGACGGAACTGAACTACAGGTAAATTAACCCTTAAAAGCCCAATCCGGCCAAGGTGGAACTTCTAAACGGTATCCTGGATTCTGAACTTGATGGGACCTTGAGCCTTTAGGCTAGGAAAACTGTCTATGTCTGAGACTGGATTAAAGCTTAACCCTAAAGATGATCAATCTATTAAAATGGACCTATGGAAGCAAGTATCGATGGATTTGGACTGATTAAACATCTGGACAACTTTCACTTGGAATACAATTATTTGACATCTGTGACATAATGCCACAACAAGGACGATTTTGGGATGAAACAAAATCTACTCTTCAAGCAATTTTAGAAATAGTGAAATCCCATAATGAGGAGGCGAAATTATTCAAGGAGCAGTTGAAGAAGAACTATAGTCAACAGGAGACACAGAATAATGAACAAGGAAATTAGAAGGTGGTGGATGATGTATGCCAATCAAAAGGGGCTGGGGGAAATTATAGGAGAAAACCTAGGAGATTTAACTCTAACTCTGGAGCTTAGGAGAATTTTATGTGTGCTAAGGGAAGCTAAGGGAGAGAATCAGATCTAATTAAAAAGAGCCTGAATGATCTATTCGAGATAGATCAAATTTATAAAATGTTCTCAGGTGGCACAAGGTATGGCAGTTTGTAGAGACAGAAACAAGAATTGGGAAAAGACAAATAAGAGAAGGAGTTACTTAGAAAGATGGAAAAGAAAAAAATATTAAGGTGGCCTTCAACGTGGAAAGCATGTATATACCTAACTTCTGGAATTGTAAGGGGGCATATCCTATATATTAGAAAAAGGAATTAAATTGAAATAAGGGATCACTAATCAGAGTAAAGGCATAATACAGTGATTCTTAAGGTAAATTAAAACTAGATATAAGGATGAGGTAAAACAAATAGTAATTAATGAACATATTAGATATGATATTGATATAGACATGATAGAAAATGTGGAGATAGAAATGGCTAAACAATTATATAAAGAAAATCAGTATGAAATGCTTTAGATAACATCTATTATGTGTTAGGAACCTATTCCGTTATTACTGATATAAAAGACAAAGTTTGTGGGTTAAATCACCTCAAAATTATGTGAATTTGGAACCGGAATTACTTTTATCAGGTATGTTATTAGAGGACTTTGAGAACATTCCATACTATGAGAGCAATATTATGCTATAAAAAACAAATCAGTATATCATTATATCAGTAATAATGATATTTTATAATGATAGGAAATATTATTACTGATATAAAATACGAAGTTTGTTGGTTAAGTCATCTCAAAATTATGTGAATTTGGAACCGGAATTACTTTTATTAGGTATGTTATTAGAAGACTTTGAGTACATTGCATACTATAAGAGCAATATTACGATAGTAGCCAATAGTGTATGCTAAACTATACACATGAATGGTTTAATTGTTAAAAAAATGTGTAGATTTTGAAGGGACAACTAAGAAGATGCCATGACACAAAAAACAAATAATTATAAGCAACCCATGTAACACAATGTTTAAAAGCACGAATTGTACTTTTGTAGATAGACTGAAAAACTAATAAAATGTTTTTTTTTAAAGGAAGGTGGCATTATTACTCTTGGGACACAAGCAGATGTCACATTCCTCTTGGCACCACACAGTCGGCTCTACTCCGCCCTGGGCCTTTTGCAAGCCAGATGCTCAAGTGAGAGTGATATTGTTCTAGCTTTGGGCAAAACCCAGATGTCCACAGGGATGCCAGCATCGATCCCCTGAGTTCTCAGATGGCTGTGATCCTTAGATATAGTCTCTCTCTTTATATTTTCACAACATTTAATTTTGGATGAAATGGGAAAAATTATCTTTTCAGATGACACCTGCCAGATCTAACTGGTGTACCCAGTGACAGAGCTGGCTACAGGATTCTGGGAGTTGCAATCCAAGAAATTTAGTTTCTCTAGTTCTGGTATAAGGAAGACAGTTACACACAGGAAGGCTGAAAGTGCAACTTGTGGGAAGCGGAAAGGCTTGGGCTTGATCACTCAGCTTGCTGCCTCCCTTCTCCCCCTTAAATACTAGATCTCTTGCTGTATCATCAACAGCTTCATAAAGTTGCCTGAGTTTCAGTGATGATTTGTCACATAGAATTGGAACTGGAGGGAGGGTGCCGCCGCTGCTTGAGAAAGACCAAACTATACATTTCATTGATCTTTGAATATCATCTGTGGTTGGCTGTTGTAATTTTTATGTGGTGCAACGTCACATAATCCTCCTCCATTGCAGACTTGAAGGGCTGAATACATGTGCTATTCAAAGCAATGGAATGCAATGTGAAAAGGGAAAGTGGCCTTACGTTGCCATTTTGGAAGCAAAAATACACAATTAATACAAAATAAATGGAAGAAAGGGATACAGCAGTCTTCTATTGTCATGTAGAGAACAGTAGAAGATGGAGACCTGGTAGTCCAGGTTGGAGGACATGCAGCCCTCTGGATGCTGATGGACTTCCACCTCTATTAGCTCTAGCTAGCATGGCCAGTGGTGAAGGAAGGTGGGAACTGCACTGCAGCCCAAGAACATCCAGAAGGCCACACATTCACATTTTCTGTTGTAGATAGTCCCCTACCATCAAATGATGACATAGCTATTCATATCTGGAAGTAAATAATTGCTTCTGGAGGCAGTAGCTAAGCAGATGAAAGCAGCAGCATGAACAAATGGACAACCCTGACCCACCCACCCACCCGTCCGCTTCATTAACCCGTAAGTGGAGAGTGCTACAGCACTTATAGAGCAATATGAGATAATGCATATGTATCAGATCAACGCTGTGGTGATTTTGCTCCCATGAGCCAACACTGTACAGGATTGTAACAGAACAACAAAACAAGTATGCCGTGCCTTTAGCAACTGCAGTATGGAAAGTGGCTAAAATTATACCAGTGGGTCATTGCTAACAACTATCCTACTCTTGCTTTGTACTTGCCCTTATGCAAAATCTATGCCTGTTGTTTGTGATAGTTACAAACGGGCACAAGCTAAACTAGGATGTACTCAGTATCACAGTATCATGCAAGGCAGCTATTAAAAATAAAATTCCCTAAAAAAACAAACAAGCTCAAACCGTAACCTTGTTATTTTGTACAACATGGAACTGGGCCACAAATGTGTGGCAAACAAACAATGCTGTCTGTCTTTTGAATGGCAGCTTGTGCTTTGCACCTAAGTCACAGGCAAGTCTCGGACCGAAACATAAAGCAGACTCACACTAGAGTGGGTACTTGTGTGACCTCAGAAAAGTATTTGCACACATTTCATTGAGGGCTGCAATTAATTCTCCCACTTCTCCTTCATGTGGTTTGGCACTTAAGAGCTGCTGTGACTGGAGGGACTCAGGAGGTGGATGTGCATTGGAAAAAAAATTAGACTTAAGTCCTGGCCACCAACTGAGAACCAAAGCATCACATGAATATCTTAAAATAATCTTTTCATCTGCTCCACAACTGTCCAACGCTACATTCACTGCTTTCACAGTCTAAGTCTAATAAACTTGACACACATGCTGGAACCCACCTTCTATCACACCAAAGACAATAAAAGCCTCTTTACTTGCCTAGCTTCGGTTTAAGAATCTTCTCAAGCAGTCTAACACTGGCCTGACTGCTACACTACTCTCTAGGAAACTGGCCTACACTCTAGCAGCCCTAGCGCCCTATGTGGTGCGGCTAAGTAAATATACACTGGGTAGCAGTTTTGAGATGGCTAAAAAAAGTGGCAGAGCTATTAAATTCAGTGATCTGGTCAGTACGGAAATTCCTCAAAAATGTTCTGTGAGTCTGGATAATTTCGGTTGATTGCTATCCTTTGACCGTGGCTATGTTAGAGACCATTTAAATAAATTCCCACCCTGAGGGTTGTGTCCCACAACCCTAGGCAATATAACAGAACATGCTGATAACACATGCAACCCCAGCACCTTGGACAACATTGTCAAGGGATGTGGAGAGTACCTCGCTCACATTACACATTGCTTCATTGATGCCCTTCATGGCTTGAGTTGGTTGTAATGTTGGGCTTTCCGCAGAGATGGGAAACAGATGCCTTTTGGACTCTTAGCTGGAAAATCCAGCCAGCATGACCCATGACTGGGTAAAAAAAAAAACCAAATGTTTGCCATTACTGGTCCTCTCTGCACATGAGAAGTCTCCCCATAAAACTAAACCTTGTAGGTGAAAAAGAAAAGAAACCATGAGTAATCAACAAGTAGGGTATATTTTGACCAATAATCTGAGTATGGTACATGTAAATTTACCCTTGTAGCCTGTTTCATGATCATTAAATAAAAGAAAAGGGGTGTGTGCCTTTTGGAAGGGGATTTTGTCTTACCTGTTTAAACCTACACATATATTGCCATTTATCAATTCAGAAAGCTTCACAAACATCACTTAAAAGTTGCAACAAATGGGCTAAAATTGAGTTTTCTTAAAAAACAAAAACAGAAGATTGAAATTTTGAAGCCTGCTTGTCAACTCTGTACTTGAACAGTGACAAGATTCAAAAATTGACTAGCGTGATGTGTGATCATGTCAGATGTTGATTAGAAAAGCAATTCTTTTTGAAGGCAGTAACTGTTTTAAGAATTCAAAAGTCGCTGGTGTTTTGCTTTAGAAAATGTACCACTCAGTGGTCATTTGGAAGGTGCTTCTGCTTTGTGTAACTTTTGTCTCATTTGGGCAGAAATATTCCTGGGAAGCTTTGACCAAAAAAAAAGAAATGAAAATGTATTTCATTTCTGTATACGTAACTCTTAGGCACATGTTACAAAACGGCTGACTGTCATGAAAATAGATCAGCACTTTTTTTTTTGTAGAATCAATTCATATAAAAATGCAACTTAGAACAGATCCCGCTACATATCCAGAAGTGTGTATGTGTGTCTTTCATGTGCCCCACAATATGCGCATTGAAGCCAGCACTATTCATACCTAACACACACACACATAGGCACACACGCGCACACGCACACAGACAATACTATTCAAAATTTGAACCTGCAACTAACCTGAAAAACTGCAGCTAAAAAAAGTTCATTCAGAGAGAATGATAAGCAGTAGTAAGTCTTCCCTTGCTTTTGGTACTACCCAGAAAAGGGTTCTGTGCATCAGATCACACTGTATTATGCTACGTTCCGGCATCAGAGTGCCTCTCCTAAGAGCTTTTGGCACTGAACGTGCAGGGATAGACTGCCTATTCATATGCAGCTACAGAACATGTTGATAATAGTAACGGATTTCTAGGAATCTACTCCTGTTGCAGATAATATTTCTTAGGTGACAACATTCAGTAGATTGGTATGTTGTCAGAAGAACGGAATTCATCTTAAAGAGCTGCTCTGGCCGGTCATCTTGGCACCATGCTCACTTTTGCAGGGGTAGGAGGTCCGGATGAAGAGCGATAAATGTGAGTCGGAGATGTCGGAGACAATTTAACAGGACTTATGGGGTCTGCCGTCTGAAGTTTCCACAGCAGCTCTTCATTAGTCCTACTGAGCCTTTTCTTTTCCTTAGTTTCTTTTTCAACATATTCTTGGAGGTTAGCATTCTCTTCAGATAACTGTCTGGAAGAGGAAACAAGACACCATCAGAACTAAACTTCAGACTGATGACTGAAAAACTTGAGCAAATTTACTTCTTTCAACTACAAGTCCCAGCATATCTGGGCTGTGGCACTCTGAGAATTATTCAGAGAAAAAAAAACCAAAACCTTTTCCCATAATCTCCACTCCTTCTTTGGAGCACCATGGCATGGCATGGCACCTTTTTCATAAATAATTTTTAGGTTTTTCTGAAAATGGTTGACTTGCATGTTTTGCATTTCTGACCAGCTCATCCCCTGCCCAACCCACCTGTACTAGTTCCACTGAAAATAAGGCCAAAACAGCTTCTGTACAGTATATACAGTATATCACAGAAGTGAGTACACCCCCTCACATTTCATACATATTTTAGTGTATCTTTTCATGTGACAACATTGAAGAAATGACACGGCTACAATGTAAAGCACTGAGTATACAGCTTGTATTACAGTGTAAATGTGCTATCCCCTCAAAATAACGCAACACACAGCCATTAATGTCTAAACCACTGGCAAAAAAGTGAGTACACCCCTAACTGATGATGTCCAAATTGGGTCCAAGTAGCTGTTTTCCCTCCCTGGTGTCATGAGACCCATTAATGTCAGAAGTCTCAGGTGTGAAGGGGGAGCAGGTGTTATCACTCTCACTCTCTCAGACTGGTCACTGGAAGTTCCACATGGCACCTCGTGGTAATGAACTATCTGAGGATCTGAAAAAACAAATTGTCGCTCTACATAAAGATGGCCAAGGCTATAAGCAGCCTGCCCAAACCCTGAAACTGAGCTGAAGCACGGTGGCAAAGACCATACAGCGATTCAACAGGACAGGTCCCACTCAGAACAGGCCTCGCCATGGTTGACCAAAGAAGCTGAGTGCCCGTGCTCAGCGTCATATCCAGAGGTTGGATTTGGGAAATAGACGTATGAGTGCTGCCAGCATTGCTGCAGAGGTTGAAGGGGTGGGGGGTCAGCCTGTCAGTGCTCAGACCATATGCTGCACAAACACTGCATCAAATTGGTCTCCCAGGCTGCCGTCCCAGAAGGAAGGCTCTTCTAAAGATGATGCACAAGAAAGCCCACATATGGTTTGCTGCAGACTAAGGACATGGATTTCTGGAACCATGTCCTGTGATTCAATGACACCAAGATAAACTTATTTGATTCAGATGGTGTCAAGCGTGTGTGATGGCAACCGGGTGAGGAGTAGAAAGACTAGTGTGTCATGCCTACAGTCAAGCATGGTGGTGGGAGTGTCATGGTCTGTGGCTGCATGAGCGCTGCTGGAACTGGGGAGCTACAGTTCATTGAGGGAATCATGAATGCCAACATGTACTGTGACATACTGAAGCAGAGCATGATTCCCGCCCTTCAGAGACTGGGCCGCAGGGCAGTATTCCAACATGATAACAACCCCAAACACACCTCCGAAATGACCACCGCCTTGCTAAAGAAGCTGAGGGTAACTGTGATGGACTGGCCAAGTCCTAAACCCTATTGAGCATCTGTGGGGCATCCTGAAATGGAAGGTGGAGGTGCGCAAGGTCTCTAACATCCACCAACTATGTGATGTCATCATGGAGGAGTGGAAGAGGACTCCAGTGGCAACCTGTGAAGCTTTGGTGAACTCTATGCCCAAGAGGGTTGAGGCAGTGCTGGAAATTAATGCTGGTCACACAAAATATTGACACTTTGTGTCCAATTTGGACATCTGAGACTTGTGGCACTAACGGGTCTCATGACACCAGGGAGGGAAAACAGCTGTAGTGCATTTTTGTGCTCTGCTATAGTCATCAGGGGAGAAATTTTCTGCACACCACAAATAAGAATGCATGCTTGGGTACACTTTCCTGTGATCCCCCAGTTGCTCTTATTTCTGGAAAAAAATGTGGAGGATTATGCTATGAAGTCTTATATGTTATTATTAATCCTCTGCTTCACACATAGAGACTTCAATAAACAAAGCTTTCCTCCTTAGGAACTGCAAAGAGTGCTCTTTTTCTGTAAATCAGTAGCGACTTGAAGTTTATTTTGCAAGAAGTTGATCTATATCTGTGCTGAAAACTCCTGCATATTGAAATACACACTATCAAAATCCTTATCTGTTTGTTTCAGATCATACCACTTTTCAGAAAGACAGATTTTGCTGCAAAATATAAGCACAGTACATCATTTATGAGCACAAAAGTGCCATATTTAAGATCACCATAGATGCTAGATCAGTACAGGGGCTGAGCTTGTCCTAAATTAATGTCCTTGCTCGTCTTTAATCTGGGGGATTGATTTTAGAGGTGCTCATCCACTGTATAAATCTACAGCATTCAGTGGTAGAATTATTGTTTTATTACAGCATATACTGTAGCATGTGAAGGCGCACCTCTGTGTGTAAAGTTGCAGAGACAGTAATAAATAATCCAAATAAGAAAGACACGGATATACAGAATGGTTATCTGGTATAGTAAAAATAACAGTGTGGGATCTTAGAGAGAAAAAAATTATTGTGAATTGTATTCTCGAAGGCTTTCACAGCCAGGATCTAATGGTTGTTGTGGGTTTTTTGGGCTCTTTGGCCGTGTTCTGAAGGTTGTTCTTCCTAATGTTTCACCAGTCTCTGTGGCCGGTATCTTCAGAGGCCAGCACCCTGTGCTCTGGTGTGTCCTCTGAAGATGCCGGCCACAGAGACTGGTGAAACATCAGGAAGAACAACCTTCAGAACACGGCCAAAGAGCTCGAAAAACCCACAACCATTATTGTGAATTGTAATAATGCTACATTTGTTGGGTACTCCGATTTGAAAATGTGAAAAGAAAACAAACAAAGTGTCTGTCCATGTATTTGCCATAAACAGCAGGTAATCTAACCTTGCAATTCTACAAATATTACATACACAGGGAGGGTGGGCATAGTAGAATGCTCCAGTGATGCAGCCTCTGCCCCTACCCTAAAACAATTTTAAAGTTAGTATGTTAAATGTAATGACCTAAATCCTCTTCTGTAGCTATGCAAAATAGTATAACTTGAAGGTGAACTGCCCCGAGTTCAGCAATCATTGTAGACATCATTTGTTATACACTGAGTCATACAAGTCAATATGCAACAGATCATATCTACAGTGATTTTTTAACTTGGGACAATTTGCCTCCAAAAGTTACACTGTTTGTGCTACACCAATTTAACTAGATAACAGGATATGGGCCAGTGTGTTCCTTTACGTGTTCTGATTCTATAAAAAAGACCAGTTTCATGATCATGAAAAAAATAGTACATGATTTAAAACCTAGCGGGAGCTGGTTTCTAAACTGAGGCACAAATATTTAGACAGACCTTGTCACCACAGTGTTTTGATCAATTCTGACTTTGAGGTCTTCGTTTTGCTGTTGGAGCACCTGGATTTTTTCTTCCAATATTAAGTTCTTTTCAGCCTGTAGTCACAGAAGAGAGAGTTACATACTTACAGCAGCTGTGGTGTTCACATACAACCTAGTTCACGTACAAATTAATTTTTTAAAAAGGCACACCACTGATTCATTCTAATAGAAGATATTGCACCAGGACTAGAGCTCTAACATTAGGCAGTGTAAGGCAGCTGCCTCCGATAGCATAATTTGGGAATCAGGAGAGGACAGAAAGTTGATAGTTCTTCTCTTCAAAGAGACCTAGAACAATGCACCACACAATAACAATACAATACTCCATATAAATGACAAAATACAGTAAAGATGAGCAGCAACACAAAATGTACTCTCGAAGGCTTTCACGGCCAGGATCTGATGGTTGTTGTAGGTTTTCTGGGCTGTTTGCAGTTGTGGCCAGGTATACATTGGAACCACAAAACGAAGTATCCACACCAGAATCAAAGAACATGAGAGACACTGCAGACTTAAACAACCAGAAAAATCTGCAGTAGCTGAACATGCCCTAAAACAAGCTGGACATGATATTCTATTTCAAAACACTGAAATACTGGACAATACCAGCAATCATTACGTCAGATTGCATAGGGAACCTATTGAAATCCACAAGCACCAGCAGAACTTCAACATAAAAGAGGAAAATCTGAAACTCAACAAAACTTGGCTCCCAGCTCTGAAAAATACAGCATGCAAAAGGTCAATGACCTCTACCCCAGCCACAAGGACCGGGGATCACTACACACAAAAGACCAGCTAATGACACCCAACAATCACAGTGATAGATAATCTCTTCTCCTTATCACAACAATACACCCACAACAAGACACACTAATCACCCATCTCCTGAAAAGGACAAAAGCCTATCTCACAACCATAAATACTCCATTTCCAAGCAAAATACACCAGAGCACAGAGTACTGTCCTCTGGCGAAATGTTAGGAAGAACAACCTTCAGAACACGGCCAAAGAGCCCGAAAAACCCACAACAACCAGTCAGAACTCTGTCTGTGCCCTGGTGCACTTTGTTGAATAGTCGAGTATTTATAACTGTGGGATCAGCTTTTGTCCCTTTCAGGAGATTGGGTGATTATGGTGATCAGTGTGTTTTTTGATGGCTTTTGTGATTTCATTATTGGTTTGATGGCTACTACAAGAATAAAATCACAAGAGCCATCAAACCAAGAACACAAGACCAAACTGATGAGGAAAAACAGCCACCCACAAATAAAGTACAGTGGTGCCCCGCACAGCGAGGTTAATCCATTCCGGATTAACCTTTGCTGTGGGAAACATCGCACTACGGAACAGAAAAAGGCATTGGAACACATTAAAC